TTTTCCATAGATTTCGGCTTCAAATCTGAGAATAATTTCGTGTATGGAGTTTGGGGTATGTTGATTGACCATTAGGATACAAAATCTCGACAAAAAAAAATTTGAAATTTCATCGTTTTAGTAAGAAGGTACCTACCTTATGATTTAGGTTTTGGTAAACTTTGAAAGGTCATAACTTTTTTTCTATTATAGATAGAAAGCTGAAACTTTCACTGAATTTTATCCCTTTGAAAGGACTACAATCCCTGAAAATTTCAGCTCATTTGCATTTATAGTTCCTGAGATAAAATCGTGTTAAGCAATTTGGGGTGATTTATCAATTTTTAAATTTTTCTGAGTGCCTTTTTCCATAGATTTCGGCTTCAAATCTGAGAATAATTTCGTGTATGGAGTTTGGGGTATGTTGATTGACCATTAGGATACAAAATCTCGACAAAAAAAAATTTGCAATTTCATCGTTTTAGTAAGAAGGTACCTACCTTATGATTTAGGTTTTGGTAAACTTTGAAAGGTCATAACTTTTTTTCTATTATAGATAGAAAGCTGAAACTTTCATTGAATTTTATCCCTTTGAAAGGACTACAATCCCTGAAAATTTCAGCTCATTTGCATTTATAGTTCCTGAGATAAAATCGTGTTAAGCAATTTGGGGTGATTTATCAATTTTTCAATTTTTCTGAGTGCCTTTTTCCATAGATTTCGGCTTCAAATCTGAGAATAATTTCGTGTATGGAGTTTGGGGTATGTTGATTGACCATTAGGATACAAAATCTCGACAAAAAAAAATTTGAAATTTCATCGTTTTAGTAAGAAGGTACCTACCTTATGATTTAGGTTTTGGTAAACTTTGAAAGGTCATAACTTTTTTTCTATTATAGATAGAAAGCTGAAACTTTCATTGAATTTTATCCCTTTGAAAGGACTACAATCCCTGAAAATTTCAGCTCATTTGCATTTATAGTTCCTGAGATAAAATCGTGTTAAGGAATTTGGGGTGATTTATCAATTTTTCAATTTTTCTGAGTGCCTTTTTCCATAGATTTCGGCTTCAAATCTGAGAATAATTTCGTGTATGGAGTTTGGGGTATGTTGATTGACCATTAGGATACAAAATCTCGACAAAAAAAAATTTGAAATTTCATCGTTTTAGTAAGAAGGTACCTACCTTATGATTTAGGTTTTGGTAAACTTTGAAAGGTCATAACTTTTTTTCTATTATAGATAGAAAGCTGAAACTTTCACTGAATTTTATCCCTTTGAAAGGACTACAATCCCTGAAAATTTCAGCTCATTTGCATTTATAGTTCCTGAGATAAAATCGTGTTAAGCAATTTGGGGTGATTTATCAATTTTTAAATTTTTCTGAGTGCCTTTTTCCATAGATTTCGGCTTCAAATCTGAGAATAATTTCGTGTATGGAGTTTGGGGTATGTTGATTGACCATTAGGATACAAAATCTCGACAAAAAAAAATTTGAAATTTCATCGTTTTAGTAAGAAGGTACCTACCTTATGATTTAGGTTTTGGTAAACTTTGAAAGGTCATAACTTTTTTTCTATTATAGATAGAAAGCTGAAACTTTCATTGAATTTTATCCCTTTGAAAGGACTACAATCCCTGAAAATTTCAGCTCATTTGCATTTATAGTTCCTGAGATAAAATCGTGTTAAGCAATTTGGGGTGATTTATCAATTTTTCAATTTTTCTGAGTGCCTTTTTCCATAGATTTCGGCTTCAAATCTGAGAATAATTTCGTGTATGGAGTTTGGGGTATGTTGATTGACCATTAGGATACAAAATCTCGACAAAAAAAAATTTGAAATTTCATCGTTTTAGTAAGAAGGTACCTACCTTATGATTTAGGTTTTGGTAAACTTTGAAAGGTCATAACTTTTTTTCTATTATAGATAGAAAGCTGAAACTTTCACTGAATTTTATCCCTTTGAAAGGACTACAATCCCTGAAAATTTCAGCTCATTTGCATTTATAGTTCCTGAGATAAAATCGTGTTAAGCAATTTGGGGTGATTTATCAATTTTTAAATTTTTCTGAGTGCCTTTTTCCATAGATTTCGGCTTCAAATCTGAGAATAATTTCGTGTATGGAGTTTGGGGTATGTTGATTGACCATTAGGATACAAAATCTCGACAAAAAAAAATTTGAAATTTCATCGTTTTAGTAAGAAGGTACCTACCTTATGATTTAGGTTTTGGTAAACTTTGAAAGGTCATAACTTTTTTTCTATTATAGATAGAAAGCTGAAACTTTCACTGAATTTTATCCCTTTGAAAGGACTACAATCCCTGAAAATTTTAGCTCATTTGCATTTATAGTTCCTGAGATAAAATCGTGTTAAGCAATTTGGGGTGATTTATCAATTTTTAAATTTTTCTGAGTGCCTTTTTCCATAGATTTCGGCTTCAAATCTGAGAATAATTTCGTGTATGGAGTTTGGGGTATGTTGATTGACCATTAGGATACAAAATCTCGACAAAAAAAAATTTGAAATTTCATCGTTTTAGTAAGAAGGTACCTACCTTATGATTTAGGTTTTGGTAAACTTTGAAAGGTCATAACTTTTTTTCTATTATAGATAGAAAGCTGAAACTTTCACTGAATTTTATCCCTTTGAAAGGACTACAATCCCTGAAAATTTCAGCTCATTTGCATTTATAGTTCCTGAGATAAAATCGTGTTAAGCAATTTGGGGTGATTTATCAATTTTTCAATTTTTCTGACTGCCTTTTTCCATAGATTTCGGCTTCAAATCTGAGAATAATTTAGTGTATGGAGTTTGGGGTATGTTGATTGACCATTAGTTTACAAAATCTCGACAAAAAAAATTTTCAAATTTCATCGATTTAGTAAGAAGGTACCTACCTTATGATTTAGATTTTGGAAAACTTTGAAAGGTCATAACTTTTTTTCTATTATAGATAGAAAGCTGAAACTTTCACTGAATTTTATCCCTTTGAAAGGACTACAATCCGTGAATATTTCAGCTCATTTGCATTTATAGTTCCTGACATAAAATCGTGTTAAGGAATTTGGGGTGATTTATCAATTTTTCAATTTTTCTGATTGCCTTTTTCCATAGATTTCGGCTTCAAATCTGAGAATAATTTAGTGTATGGAGTTTGGGGTATGTTGATTGATCATTAGGATACAAAATCTCGACAAAAAAAAAATTTGAAATTTCATCGTTTTAGTAAGAAGGTACCTACCTTATGATTTAGGTTTTGGAAAACTTTGAAAGGTCATAACTTTTTTTCTATTATAGATAGAAAGCTGAAACTTTCACTGAATTTTATCCCTTTGAAAGGACTACAATCCCTGAAAGTTTCAGCTCATTTGCACTTATAGTTCCTGAGATAAAATTGTGTTAAGGAATTTGGGGTGATTTATCAATTTTTCAACTTTTCTGATTGCCTTTTTCCATAGATTTCGGCTTCAAATTTGAGAATAATTTAGTTTATGGAGTTTGGGGTATGTCGATTGACCATTAGGATACAAAAGCTCGATTAAAAAAAAATTGAAATTTCATCGTTTTAGTAAGAAGGTACCTACCTTATGATTTAGATTTTGGAAAACTTTGAAAGGTCATAACTTTTTTTCTATTATAGATAGAAAGCTGAAACTTTCACTGAATTTTATCCCTTTGAAAGGACTACAATCCCTGAAAATTTCAGCTCATTTGCATTTATAGTTCCTGACATAAAATCGTGTTAAGGAATTTGGGGTGATTTATCAATTTTTCAACTTTTCTGATTGCCTTTTTCCATAGATTTCGGCTTCAAATTTGAGAATAATTTAGTTTATGGAGTTTGGGGTATGTCGATTGACCATGAGGATATAAAATCTCGACAAAAAAAAAATTTAAATTTCATCGTTTTAGTAAGAAGGTACCTACCTTATGATTTAGATTTTGGAAAACTTTGAAAGGTCATAACTTTTTTTCTATTACAGATAGAAAGCTGAAACTTTCACTGAATTTTATCCCTTTGAAAGGACTACAATCCCTGAAAATTTCAGCTCATTTGCATTTATAGTTCCTGAAATAAAATCGTGTTAAGCAATTTGGGGTGATTTATCAATTTTTCAATTTTTCTGAGTGCCTTTTTTCATAGATTTCGGCTTCAAATCTGAGAATAATTTAGTGTATGGAGTTCAGGGTATGTTATTGTATGTATGTCCCTTTAGTATTTCAGCAGTGAGCAATGAGTCGTTCTGATATAAAAATGAGGAGTTTTTGACCTACTTAATGAAGAAAAACTCTGATCTGGAAATGAGTGAGTTTTTGAATTAGTAAAGATTCTAATTTGAAAATAAGTAAGCAGGGCCACAACTAGAATCCTTGACGCCCAAGGCCAATCCAAATTTTGGAGCATACTACTAATTCTACCATTGTACACGTACACGATGATCAATATTTAATCATCTCTGGTTTTAAACATAGAAAATATTTCACGAGAACCGGGATTCTCACTTTGGTGTAAGTACTTATAATGTAAATAGCCCTTGTAGATAAGTATGCATATTCTATACCTATACCTGTCTAAGGTGGAAAAGTCTATATTTTCACAAAAACCCTTTTTTCGATGAATCGCAATTATTAGTTTTCTCCCCTTAAACCATCCTCAAAGTAATTTGCAAGTCAAGTAATAAGGTTCCCCAAACGATGTATTTTGATACTATCTATAATTTCCAGTACTGTTCGTGCTCGAGACTACTGTAAATGTTGTAATAATGTGCTCCTAATTTTCCTCCTTTCATAGTACCTATACATATTCAATTGTGTAAAAATTTCAATAGAAAATAGTGAAATAATTGGACCGGAAAATAGGCACGAAGAACATCTAATTTATCAGAGCTGCGTGATTTATTATTATTATAGAAACTACAACTTCAAAAATTTCAGAATTTATTGTAGAATAGGCACACCATAATTATTGTAGTGAAATACCTTTTTCCAGTTTAAAATGTACATAATTTTGTTTTAGTGTCCTAAACAGAAGTCCAGAACATTTAATCCACGAAATAATCTTAGTGGACGATTACAGCGACAATCGTAAGTAATTTCCAATATACCTACATAGTCTTATTTCAGTTGATAGCACAATTTTAAACCCTATGGTTTACAATCCTAAACCTCGATTTATCAACTGCAATGAAATAGACTATACATAAGTTTGCTCATTACATAAATACAAATTTCTAGCTGCCGATGGTGAAGAACTGGCCAAAATCCAAAAAGTAAAAGTCTTACGCAACAACAAACGTGAAGGCCTAATGCGATCCCGGGTAAAAGGTGCGGACGCCGCTACAGCAACTGTCCTAACATTTCTAGACAGCCATTGCGAATGCAATGCCAATTGGCTGGAACCTTTACTGGAACGAGTCGTTGAAGACCCTACACGAGTGGTTTCACCAGTTATTGACGTCATCAGTATGGATAATTTCCAATATATCGGAGCCTCGGCCGATTTGCGTGGAGGTTTCGATTGGACCATGGTTTTTAAATGGGAGTTTTTGAGTATGTCACAACGAGAGGCTAGAAGACGGGATCCCACCAAAGAAATTAAAACTCCAATGATTGCTGGAGGGCTTTTTGTTATAGATAAAGCTTATTTTGATCGATTGGGCAAATATGATATGCAAATGGATGTTTGGGGAGCGGAGAATTTCGAAATTTCTTTTAGGGTTTGGCAATGTGGAGGCAGTTTGGAGATTATACCTTGTAGTAGGGTAAATATATTGATTTAGCTACAAATAACTTCAATAGATAGGTGAAATTTTAGGTCGGACATGTATTTAGAAAAAAGCACCCTTATACATTCCCGGGAGGCAGTGGGGTAGTTTTTGCCAAAAACACCAGAAGAACCGCTGAAGTTTGGATGGACGAGTATAAAAACTTTTATTATTCCGCTGTACCTTTAGCAAGAAATGTACCTTTTGGAGAGTAAGCTATTTCTAAATCATTACAAAATTGTATAATAATTAAATGAAATTCTAGCATAAGTGAACGAATGGACATACGTCGCAATTTGCAATGCAAATCATTCAAATGGTACTTAGACCACATCTATCCGGAATTAGCAGTACCATCTTCGATTCCTAGACCAGGAGAAATCAAACAAGGGGCCTATTGTTTGGACACTTTGGGACACGTACTAGATGGTACTGTTGGAATTTATCAGTGTCATCATACTGCAGGTATTTTCCTCCCTTTTTCCTACAACAACTACATAAAGTTAAAGTAGAAATATACGTAACCAAAGTACATTGTGTGATTAGAACGACTCGGTCTGCGACCTCGTCGTTCTAATTTTTTACAGTGGTTAATTGTAATCATAATATGTTCATAAACGCATTTGTAATGTCAATAACATAGGCGCAACTAGTAACAACTAAAGTAAAAATTAGCACTCCCATTCAGCATCCCACCATAGCACTACCTACAGTGGCACAACCTAACACTAATATATAAAAAAAAATTGTATAGTTTTTGTACTTTCTTACGTCATCGATGACGTCAGACAATGTTGTCAATGTCTATGTTTATTCTATATCTTAAGGTGACATTGAAATACCGGCTCTTAAAAAATCATTGGAGTCCCAAATATATAAATTAATTAACTGCGTATTATACAGGGTGTTCCTAAATAACATGTACAAACGGTAAAGGGTATAATTATTTGCGCTTTAGCTAATTTTTTCATCCTCAATTTTCCGCGATTTTATCCTCTTTTTTTGCAATTTTTGATTCTTTTTTAGCGATTTTTGACTTTATTTTTGCCTCATTCTGTTGCGATTTTAGCCCCACTTTTTTGTGATTTCACCCTCGCTTCTTCACGATTACAAACTTACTTTCCCGCGATTTTAAACCTATTTTTCTACAAATTTTACCTCACTTTTCCACGATTCCTGTCTCACTTTTTCTCGCGATACTCATCTTATTTTTTCGTGAGTTGATCCTCACTTTTTTTTGGAATTTTTGTCTTATTTTTTTTTTCGATTCTCATACCATTTTTTCGCGAATTTAACATCACTTTATTTACAATTTTTGACTCACTTGTTCGCAGTTTTGTCCTCACTTTTTTTGTGATTTTAGCCTCACATTTTTGTGATTTTACCCTCACTTCTCCGCGATTCCAAACCTATTTTTCCGCTATTTGATCCTCATTTTCCCGCGATTTTTTCCCTACTAGCCGCGATTTTATCTTAACTTTTCCGCAAATTTAACCTTACTTTTTTTGCGATTTTTAAATATTTTTTTTGCGATTTTTGAGTAATTTTTTTGCGATTTTACTATCACTTTTCCGCGATTCTAAATTCACTTTTCCGCGATTGTAAACCCACTTTTCCGCAAATATTACCTCATTTTTCCGCGATTCTTATCTCACGTTTTCACGAATTTACACTCACTTTTTTTAAAATTTTTTACTCATTTTTTTTTGCGATTTTTGTCCCACTTTTTTGCAATTTTATCTTCACTTTTTGGCTCTTTTTTTTTCGATTTTCGACTCTATTTTTTGCGATTTTGTCCTTACTTTTTTTGCGATTTTAGCCTCACTTTTTTTGCGATTTCGTCCTCACTTTTTTGCGATTTTACCCTCACTCCTCCGCGATTATAAACTTATTTTTCCGCTATTTCGTCCTCATTTTTCCGCGATTCTTACCTCATTTTCTTGCAATTTTTGACTTTTTTTTTGCGATTTTATCCTCATTTTTCTTCATTTCAAAATTACGAGAATTACGATAATTTTTGAAAAGTTACGAAAAATTATGGGAATTGTAAATATCTACGAGAAATACAAAAATTACGACGGAATAACATGACGCGAATTGCGGAAATAACGAAAAATTGCGCGAATTACGATAAATTATGAAAAATACAAAAATTACGGAAATTGCGAAATATTATGGAAAAGAATTACGAAGTTACTCCATAATTACATGAACTATTTAAATATTACGGAAAATTACAACAAAAATGTCGCGAATTATGAAAAAAAAAAACAAAATAATTTTTGAAAAGTTACGAAAAATGAAAAATAACAAGACAAATTACAGGAATTACGAAAAATTGAAAAAAATATATGAAAAATTACGGTGATTACAAAAATACACGAGAATAACGAAAATTACCATAAATGACGGGAATTAGGGAAATAACGAAAAATTTGCGGAAATTACGAGAAATTACAGTAATTACAAGAGAGAGTTATGAAATTACTTCAGAATTACGTGAATTATTCATTCAAATATTACGGAAAATTACAAAAAAATTACGATAATTTTTAAAAAGTTACGAAAAATTACGGGAATTACAGAAAAATTACGATGAATTTTGGAAAATTACGAAAAATTAAGGAAATTACGAAAAAGTTATGGGAATTACGAAAATTACGCGAAAATTGCAAAAACTATGGAAAAATTATAAAAATAACGAAATTTATTGGAGAAATAATGTCTTTTAACAATTTCACCTTTACTTTTCCGTAATTTCAAAGTCCAAACTCACTTTTTCGCAATTCCAGCAAATTTTGCCTCACTTTTCCGTTATTCTTGCCTTGTTTTTCAATTAATATAACCTCACTTTTCCGCGATTTTCGCCTCACATTTCCGCAATTTCAACCTAATTTTTCCATAATCTTCACTTTTGTTTTTCGTATTTATAACCTCATTTTTTCTCGATTATAACCTTACTTTTCCGCCATAGTTACTCAACTTTTCCGCAATTCCAAAATTTCCAACATCATTTTTCCGTAATGTTTACTTCTATTTTTCGTAATTCCAACGTCACTTTCCAGCGATTTTGACACTCACTTTTTCGCAATTTTTGAAAAGTTACGGAAAATTGCAAGAATTACGAAAAATTACTGGAATTATAAAAATAAAGAGAATTACAAAAATTATAGGAATTACGAAAATCACGAATTTTTGAAATTATGAAAATTACAAAACAAAAAATTAGAAGAATTAAAAATAGTTACAAAAAATTACGGGAATTACGAAAAAATTATGATTTTTGAAGCTGGGAAAATTGAATTTTTTAAGCAAAATTAATTTTCTTACATTTTATTTTTTTTCTAGAAAACTGGCAAAAGGATAATTGTGATTATTCCACTCATGTGTTAGAAATCCCATAAAACAAGTGACGATTTTCAGAATAACAGCGAAAATTCTCTTTTCTATTTGTTTAACTAGAGAGAATTTCAGCGATAATTCTCCCATATTATTGAATACATGATTGTCATGCTAATTTTTGATACAAACAAACGGTTCCTGATAGCAACCATTTATTTGTATTGATTGTTAAGATGTTTAGATCGTTAAATACATATTTATTTCCATATTTTTTGCATTCTCATACGTGAAATAATCCTCTACCACTTCAGCTTTAAAATGAACCAGATAATTTTTCACTCATGCGTGTTTTCTCTGCAAATTTCACTCGTCCTACGGACTCGTGAAATTATAGAAAACACGCGATCCTGAAAAATTATCGGTAATTTTGAAGCTCTCGTGGTATTATCCCCGAAAATTTTCCAGAAAAAAGAGGAAAGTGAGGATCTTATTAAAGCAAAATTTCAAAATTTTCCAGTGAAAAATCACTCCAACAAAAATACTAAAAAATTGACTTATTTAAGGAAAATTCATCCTCTCATATTTCAATTTATTTCTGGAAAACTAATAAAGCAAAACTTGTGAAATTTTTCCAGGAGAAAGAAGAAAATGAGGAGCTCATTATACGAAAATTTCAAAATTTTCTAGTGAAAAATCACTCCAAGGAAAACTCTAGAAAATTAACTTTTTTAAGCAAAATTCATAATTTCACATTTCAATTTTTGTCTGGAAAATTAGCAAAGCAAAAATTGTAAAATTTTTCCAAAAGAAAAAGGAAACTGAGGAACACATTATAGGAAAATTTCAAAATTTCCTAGTAAAAAAAATTATCTGTAATTTATATTAACTTTACGTAATTGTCACAGAGATACCTGTTTACTAAAAATAATTCACAATAAAATCAATTCAATTCTAGGTAACCAAGATTGGACTCTAACAAACGACGGCCTACTGAAACACCAAGACCTCTGCCTTACCCTGATAAGTTTCAACAAAGGCTCGCAGCCCATAATGCGAATCTGCGACGGTTCCGAATCCCAAACCTGGCAAATGATCAATCCAGGTGGCCTAATCAGACACACCAAATACCCATTATGTCTGGATACACGAAACAATGAAATCAGAGGAGGAATTACGTTGGAGAGATGTAATAGTGGGTTTGAGACTCAAAAATGGAGATTAGTTTCCATTGTATAATAATGTGCACAGTTTTGTTTTTTTGCTTATCAGCTGTACATAAATACAGGGTAATAAGATGAGCAACATTTTTTTTTTTTGAGTCAAAAAGCAATAAATAAAAACACAATTTGTTGAATAAAGTTGATAAGCAAAAAAATATAATTACATTCCAAAATGGTGCAATTTTTCTAGCCCAGGAAGGAAATCCTGTCTCTATAAGGACCGGTTTATCAGTTGATAGTTATTGGTTAACTGACAACTACTAAACTAGATAGGTAACCGTTCCTAAGAGATATTTCAATTATAGTTACCAAATGATTTATATTATACATTAATTTTGGCTGCTTTTATGATATTTAGAAGCGCCTTATAGAGGTTGTGTTTAGAGCAAATAATATAAGAGATTTATTAAATAGGTCTGTTTCTGCAGAAATCACAAATCAGTCAGAGTGAATTTCATTGGTCGAAACTAGTTTTCAACCAATGAAATTCGCTCTGATTGGTTTGTGATTTCTGCAGAAACAGACCTCATAATTATTAGCAAACATCCTTTAAACTTAGTGCCTCCAAAATTAAGCTTTTATTCCATAAATTTCACAGTATGTACAAATAACACAAATGAAGAACAAGCTAAATGTTAATTGATCAAATTTGCTCAATTTTTGGATAAAAAGTCAATTTTTATTTAGTCTCAGTCCTAAAAAGGAATTGCAAAATGTTAATCAAGAACTTTACTTGAAGTATCTTGTAGCACAAACATAATATTTTGAAACATATGTTTTCACACTATTGGACAAGCTCTCAAATTGTAAAACTTTGATTCTCACTTTAGTAATAAGTATAAATGTAAATAGCCCTTGTAGATAAGTATATTATTCTATACCCGTAAATGTTAGAGAATTTTTTTATGAATCTTAAAAATAGGTGCCCTCTCCTACTCCTAAGCAAAAACCATATATTATTGTATAAGAACCCAATGTTATTGTTTATTTGTTTTCAGTTTATTATTTCGTTTTATTTTGTACCAATAAAAGGCCAGTACTTAAGCACTTGGTTGATGAAACAGTGACTTTGTAGTTTTAATTTAAAATACAGAAATTTCCTTAGCAACGTTAGATCAATAAACAATTTTTGATTAAAAACCATGTCAAAACCTACAACAATAAAAGACGCAATCAAAAAATGGGAAGACAAACATCCTGGTAAGATCAAAATATTATATTGTTGGATTCTTTTGAATAAACCATGACTTTAGGCGAACAAATTAGCGAAGCCCTGGAAGTTGGGCTGCAGTTCCAGTGGCCCCCGATTGAGAAAATGGACAACTCGTTGTCGGTGCTGCAAAAATGCAAAAAACTAAGTTTGTCGACGAACATGATTGAGAAAATCGCTGGTATAAGCGCTTTGAAAAACTTGAAAATACTGTCCTTGGGACGTAATTATATCAAATCGTTTTCTGGCTTAGAAGGTGTTGCAGATACTCTGGAGGAATTGTGGATTTCTTATAATCTTATTGAAAAAGTCAAAGGGGCGCAAGTACTTAAGAGATTAAAGGTGAATATTCAAAAACGTTATCTTACAGCACAAAATCATCCATTTTACAGGTTCTCTACATTGGTAATAACATGATAAAAGAATGGTCAGAATTTGTAAAACTACAAGAATTGCCTTGCCTAGAAGAAATTCTATTTGTGGGCAATCCCCTATACGATAGCATGGAAGAAGCCGTTTGGAAAGTGGAAGCAATCAAAAAATTACCAAATTTGAGGAAATTAGATGGGGAACCTGTGGTCCGAGAGGACGAATAATAATCCAATAAAATTTGATACTATTTTTCTAAAAAAATTATTTGAATTTTTATACATTATCTTTTTGTTGACCATATGGCGAAGGCATGTATTATTCATTTCGACAGTGTACGTGAAATCATCAATAAGCAATAGATGGCGCCTCATTTAGTTAAATCTATTTATTCTCATTTACAAAAACTGTGTTTACAATAGCCATCAAAATAAAGTTTATTTGAAAAATCTTGTTAAAAATATCATAATTGATTTATACAATTATTAAATTGTAAAATTTAGAAAAAAAATAAAGGAAAATTCAAATTGTGCGCCAATAAAATGACATAAGCTTCCGCTCAGTTGGACCAATAAAAACCAACAAAATGGCCGTCATATAGTATCCGGTCCCTCAGCTGTCAAAAAAATTTGTCGGCTTTTCTTGAATTCATAAGTTTTCAATGGAGAGTGTAGGTTTTCAATGTTAATTGTGGAATTTACCGTTTAAAAAATACAAAGAAACTCGAGTGAAACTGTTGCCGTCTAGTCCAGATACGAAAATAGCGGATCAAGTGGTAAAAATGCCTTCAGCAGCCAACGGTAAGATCGACAAGCAAATTTCGTCTTCTACGGAAAATGCATTGGTCGACACTGCATCGATGACGCCTATTCGTCAGGCTATCACCACGATAGAACACAAAATTAGGAATTTGGAGAAGAGAAAGGTGAGTTTTACTGAGCAAGGGAAATTCCTCAGGCTTAAAACCAATGGGAAATCTACAGGGAACTTTCCAGTTGGGCTCCCCTCAATTTCACATAATTAATTATAATATAAACCTTGAAATGTTTCTATGAAACTTTCACTGCCTTAATTTAGTTTATGTAGGTTAAAAAATACCATTGTACTGATTTAACAATGCAATCATAATGTTTTTACAAACCCCTCTAGCCTAAAGCAACCTTTGGAGCCTTGTGGAGGAACTAGCAATAATTAAGGCCAATATTCTACAATATAGACAGTATTGAAATTTAAGTAATTTTTGTATGTTTTGGAATCTAATTTCTATTTTAAAGGTTATTTCTTACAATTCTCCAAAATAATTATTTATAGGAGAGCTGGAAATAAAGATTTTTAGACATCTTCAGTTCCAATTCAATTCAAGAAAGGTGCAAAACAGGGCTCTGTAATTGGAATTTGATACTTTTTAAGTTCAATTTCAATTCTAGGAGAGCCAGGAATGAAATCTTGCTGTCTCTCTACTTCAAATTCAGTTCTTCAAGGGCTAAAAATAAGTGTTTTTGGGTACCTATATATTCTGTGGAATTACCTACCTATTCTAGGAGAGCCCGGAATAAGATTTTTATTTCTATCATTTGAATTTCAGCTCTAGGAGGGTGCAAAATCAGTTGTGTGTTTTGAATCCTGTCTGTATTCATATTTGTTTAGTTGAATTTCAGGAATATGAGAATGCAAAATGAGGTTTTCATACTTTTATATTTTGTTAACTGTAACACTAATAGAAGGATTAGAAATTGGAATTTGATAGGTACATCATCTTCATTTCTAGGAAAGCCAGTAATGAAATTTTCATGTTTTTATAATTTTTTAGTTTTGAATCTGCTTTATATTGACTCCATGAAGAATTAACAAACAATATTCTTATCCTAGGAATCAGCTTATCCATAATAACAGAAATATCTGAGGAAATATCATTATCATTTAAGATGGCAAAGCGTAAATCGAGGCATAAATACATTAAGTACATAACATCTAATCCTTAATTTACTAAATACATAGTAATATTCCTAACTGAAAAATATATTCATGTTCTACTTTTATCACGATAAAAAGGAACTAGTACACAACAAAAACAAGAAAGTGAGAGACATTCAAATTCAAATAATCCAATAAGAAGGCTAAAAATGACCATTTTAAACTGCTATAGTGCAACTTTAACTCAAGGCTTAGAAGAGCCTGGAATAGGATTTTTATTTTTTCCAGTTGGATACCAGTTCTATGGGGGAGCAAAATAAACTTCCCAAACAGCTATAGCTAGTGATGTTCCGAAGGGAACGTTCCGGGAACTTTCCTTTAGTTCAATTCAATTCAATTCTTTATTGTCTAACAGGAATACATACTCCCAATAATGAGACAATTAGTGCACTTAAGAGCGAACAAAAATATGAAAATTTAAAAGTTAAGATTATAATATTACCTTGCATTTTTTGGGACTTACACCTCAATTGAAATTAATACCAGAAGTTTCTTGATTTTGATACGAATTACTACAAGCTCTCTGATTAGAGCAATTTTACCTATCAGATTATTTTTATTAAATAAATTACTCGAATCGATTTTTTATAAACGAATCGAGTTTTATTATTTTTGCTGACGTTTCGGTACCAAATCTGCTACCGTTGTCGAAGCTTGGGGGATGGAACACCTAAAAAATAAAAAAATTGTTCGGTTTTTTCGTAAATTTGTTTGAATACTCGAATTTGAGTTATCAAAATAATCTGATAGGTAAAATTGCTCTAATTAGAGAGCTTGTAGTAATTCGTATCAAAATCAAGCAACTTCTGGTATTATTTTCAATTGAGGTGTAAGTCCCAAAAAATGCAAGGTAATATTATAAATCCACCTCAAACATACAGACATTTGTTAGTTAAGATTATATCACACATAAGATCCAGAGAACTAATAAGAAGCCTAAAACAAAATTAAAAACAACTATGAAACAAAAATAACTAATAACAAAAATAAAAATAAAGATAAAAATGTAAATAAAAATAAAAATAAACATAAGAATAAAAATAAAAATAATAAGAAAAACTAGCATTGTTTACTCAGTTAAAATAGTAAATAAAAATAGAGATAGAAATAGTCACCCTCCCATACTTCAGCCAGGACAAGAGTAAACAATTATCACAGCAAATACATTATCACAGATTGCGAACCACTGGCAAGATATTTTTTTTAAAAGAGTTTACTGAACCTACAAATAAGTCTACATCGATACTGTTCTGCAGGTGATTGAAGTATGAGCAGGCTCGATAGATTGGCTCATTTCTGGCAAGATATGTGGGGCGATTTTCCAAATAGAATTTGTGGTGGGAACATGTGTTGACTACTGGTAAAGAAAAATTAAGGCTATTTAGAAGATCTGAAGAGTCTACCAGGTTGTTACATAATTTAAAAAGAAAGAGTTGACTTGCTAAAATTGTACTATGTTGAAATGAGAGGAAGTTGAACTTGTTGAGTAGTAACTGGTGGTCAAATCCTCTTGGAGGGTAAATTCCATCCTTTTTGAAACTTAGATATTTTAGGAATCGCCGTTGAACATATTCGAGCCTGTCCACATGTACTTGATGGTAAGGAAACCACACCAGAGAAGCATACTGCAATTTAGACTTGACCAAAGAGTTGTACAACGTGATGAGACTGTCGATGTTCTTAAACTCTCTTGTTGATCTAATAATAAACCCTAGGGTTTTCAATGATGAATGCACAATTTGATCAATATGGTCATTGAATGTGAGCTTTTTGTCAGTCACCACCCCCAGATCCCGGATTGAGTCAACTTTCAAAAGAAAACTAGATTGGAGTTGGTAATTAAAATTCAACTCATGATTGAGATTTGAGATGGTCATTGATTTACACTTATTGATGTTTAGATATAATTTGTAATTTGTTATTTTGACACCAACCTGAAAGTGCGTCAATATCTTTCTGCAGCTCGTTACAATCCTCTAAGTTGTTAATTATTCTAAATAGTTTGAGGTCATCTGCGAATAATAAACTGTGTGATGAGACGTTCTGGTCGATATCATTGACAAATATGGCAAATATCAGAGGCGCGAGATTACTTAAGTTAAGTTAAGTTTATTTTGGTGTTTTCAAAATTTTTTACAATTTTTATCACAAGTCAGCTTACATACTATAGACTACGGACTAATACAAATTCAATTTAAATAATATCACATTTTTTTCATTTGTAGGAACATCATAATAAAAATGGATGATTTGACCAGACATAATGTGCCTTTTTTTTTTTTTTTTTTTTTTTCTTTTTATACATATTTCAAATTTACAGTTTAAAATCATTTTCATTAGGTTTATATTTAAGAAATTCATTTATACTATAGAAGGCTTTTGTTATGAGGAACTTTTTCACTGTTTTTTTAAATGGATTTAATTCTCGGGTTCTTATACTTTTTGGGAGTTTATTGAAAAAAGTTGGTGCATAATAATTCCCGCAATTTCTTGATTTTTCTAATCTTAAGAAGTCCAAGTTTATATTTCCCTTCTTTCTAGTATCATGATCATGGCCATTTTCATGATTCTGGTATTTGTGTAAGTTTTGCTTCGCATAGATCAGGCACTCAAGAATGTAATTTCCTGGGGTGGTAAGTATGCCAAGATTTGCGAAAACATCCCTCACATCTGCCACATCTGCTCTGTATTTCATACCCTCAATCACTCTAATTGCCCGTCTTTGAAGCCTGAATATTCTCTCAGCATGGGGAGAATGTCCCCATACCAGTATCGCATAGTTTGCAACTGAGTGGAAGAGCTTATGATACACAGTGAGCACCACCCTTCTTTCCGTGATCTTCTTGAGGTTTCTGATAAGAAAGACTGTTTTTGCGAGTTTTTTTGCTGTGTTTTCAATGTGTATCTCGAATGTAAGTTTTGGGTCCAAAAACACTCCCAAAAACTTGATCTGTTTTGGATTTTGTTCGTTTTGTCTACGCAGGCTAACGGTCATTCTCTCAGTTTTGCCCATGTTCAGTTTCAGTCTATTTGCAGTGAACCAACTCTCCAGGTCAGCCAATCCTCGCTCCACCCCTGCTTCCCTGAGGGGCTCCGCTGGTGGCATTATAATCATAGGATTGGAATCCATTGTATTCGACAAATTGTGACCTGCCACTGAGATAGGAGATGAATATTAATAAGGTTGTTGTGAAACCCAATTTGAAGCATTTTATGAGCAATAAGCCTATGGTCCAACTTATCGAACGCCTTCGAAAAGTCCGTGTAAATCACATCAAGTTGTTTTCTTTCATTTATAGCCTGATATGCCTTTATTAGGAAAGAAGTTAGGTTAGTGATAGTTGAGCGTTTGCTATAAATTCCATGCTGGATAGTGGTAATTAAGTTTTTAACTTGGTGGAAGAGATTGTCATATACACAGATTTCAAAGGCCTTCGAGAAGTTGGACAAAATGGAGATTGGTCTGTAATTAGAGATATTGTTAATATCCCCGCCCTTAAATACTGGACATATTTTAGTTTTTTTCCAGTGATCGGGGAAAGTGTGTGTCTTGATTGCTAAATTAAATATGTGGTGCAGTGGAGATGTAAGACATGGGGCACAGTCCCGCAGTACGTGTTTTATTGCGTTTTTGACGAATGTATTTCCAGAAGTGCTTTGGATTCACCTTGATTGAAGATTCAGTGTCCCTTATATATGCTTTGTATGCGACATTAATTTTTATTTTTATCATACGTCTCATGTTTGAATATGCTTGGTAGTCCAAGTTTGAGCCACTTTTTTTATATTTTTTGTGAAGCCGATTCTTCTCATTAAGATTGTTTATTATTTCTTTAGTGTACCAGTTGGGATACACAACCCTATTTGATTTTTTATTATACAATGGGACACATTGGTCAAAAATGGTGTAAAGTGTATTATAGAAATGATTGACGGCTTGGTTAACATTAGATTCATTGATTAAAGAGTCCCAATTTGGGCCAGTTAGTAGATGGTACATCAGGTTGAAATCGGCCTTATTAAAGTTATAGTTTCTACTTGTGTTAGAGGTTGGAAAGTCATTGAACCCAGCATCTGGGTTTAGCTGCATGTCAAATGAAACGTTAAGGGTGGGGTGTGCAGAATCCTCCGGGACAAGAGGAAGATGATCTCTAGTTACCTCACATTCAAAGTTAGCAATAACAAGATCCAATATGTTACCTGATATGTTTGAGAAAGTGTTAAATTGTGTTAGGCCCCCTAGCGCTAAAAAATCAGTTATATGAGTTTCCTTAACATTTGTGTTGGGATTGAATTACCGATAAAAGCGACTTTGTTATTTTGAATAGGTTCATATGTGGAGAAAAATTCAACTAGGGTCTGGTGTGAGTTGGAGGGTGAGTTAGGTGGAATATAAATACTAAAAATAAATAGGGTAGAGTTATCTAGATATAGCTTACAGCCTACAATATCAACAACAGGTACCAGATTTTCCAGTTCTTTAAGTTCGGGAAAGTGAACAAAAACTGGGAATGTTTTTGAAAAAACAAAATTGAATGATATTTTATAGTCTAATAGCCTACTACACCAAAAAGTGCAACAATTAACAAGTTGTCTTTTTTTTTGTTAGCACTTCGAGATTTCCAGGGTTTAGTACAATACATATTACATATTACAATACAATATTTAGTTTTTTTCAGAGTAAAAGATTTAGTTTTTCTTACTACTAGGTAAAAAATAAAATGTAGTTTTTATTTTTTTATTACTTAATATGTGTGTGCGTCTATTCTATAGTTACAATGTGCAATATTGCAGTACACAGTAGTAATGTAGTGATGTTTAAATTTTTTCACTGATCTCAAGAGTCAAGAGTACAAAGACATAGGTATAAATATTTTTTATTTCCTTAGTATTTATTTTTCAAATGCATTATCGAATAAAACAAGTTTATTTTTCAAAAAAAAAAAATTTCAATAGATGCAGGCAATTTTGTTTATTGTTTTGGTTTTTGCAAACATTCCTTCACATTCCCAATTTTAGGGAATGTCCCTGGGAATGTTCCCGGGAACTTTCCCAAAAAACACTTTGTATCTAGAAATTTAGGTGGAATTTCATCAATAGAAGGTGCGAAGTTCAATTTCTACTCTAGGAGAGCCAGAAATGAATTTTCAAAATTCTATCCTAACAAGGGTCAAGGTTAAGAAATAATTGCTCATATCTTACTTGAATGAAATTGAAACAAATTGAAATAATTTTTTTCTTAAGTATTTTGGTTGGTTTCCATATTCATCTTTTGACAGGTGATTAATACTGTCTCTTTCAATAATGTGTCTATTTTTTTTCGCGTTTATATGATCAGTTGGGACCCCGTGAGATTTGAAGCCAAAATTTATTGGAAATCAACCTACAATAATAGAATTAATTGAAAATACAGTCTCACACATTTCAAAGTTTTCCTGAAAAACCAGTGAAAAGAAAATTTTGAAACTTTTTGTATGTAAAGAGGAAAGTTAGAGGCTCATTTTCCTGTAATTTCAATTTTTTCCACTGGAAAATAGCAACATGAAGAATCTTAGAAATCAACCTACAAAAATTGAACTAATTGAAAATACCTTGGAAAATACAGTCTTACACATTTCAAAGTTTTCCTGGAATACTAAGTAATGAAAAAAAAATTTTGAAACTTTTTGCAAGTAAAGAAGAAGACGAGAAGCTTATTTTCCCAAAACTTCAAATTTTTCCAGTGGAAAATAACAACATGAAGAATCTTAGAAATCAACCTTCAATAACCAAATTAATAAAAAATACAGTCTCACACATTTCAAAGTTTTCATGGAAAACTAATGAAGGAAAAATTTTGAAACTTTTTGCATGTAAAAAGGAAGGTGAGAAGTAGGGATATACTGGATCGGGTATTTGGCCGATCCAGCCGGAACGGGATTTTTGGCTGCTAACCGGACCGGACTGCCGGAATTCCGGCCGGATCGACAGTTTTCTGCAATTTAATAATAATTTGAAAGGGTGCATTCTTTTTTTACCAGCGAACCTACAGATGAGCAGTCTATCTCTTTCTGGTACATAGGAAATAAAGATGACTTATTCATAATGGAGAATAGCTCGATGGAAAAAAAGAAAGCGCCTTATGTTTGGTTATGTTTGAGTTTGGATGCTTCCTTCAAATAAATTGGGGAATCCCCGAGTTTATCTGACATCTGACTCAAACGCTTGTGCACGTGAAACGTGAACGATTTTCAGTCCAGTGTAATTGGTTGCAGTTGTTTTGTGTTCCTGTGTAGCCAACTAACACAGCATCTAATGGCGTTTCCGATTGGTAAATTCAGTGCGCACTGAGTGTATTTGCATCCTTTTAATCGATCTGTAGAAGAAAAAGACAGAAATAGAAAAAATTGCACTAGTTCCGCACTAAATCTACCAATCGGAAACGCCATTAGTTAAAAATTTCAAAAGTATGGAAGTTTTTTGAAATCCATATCTGAATTTAATGTTTATGTTAAAAAAAATATTTTTATGGTTTACAGCTTCAATTTTAATAGAGTTCTAAGTATTCTTCTTGTTTTCCGCTTATAAATTTATTATTTAACCTATTTTAAAATTTTCGAAAATTCCGGCCGGATCACGCTTGCGATCCGGCCAGAACAGTAGTTCCGGGCTATAGGCCGGATTTAGTGGTACCGGCGGAATTCCGGTACATCCCTAGTGAGAAGCTCATATTCCCAAAATTTCAAATTTTTCCAGTGGAAAATAACAACATGAAAAATCTTGGAAATCAACCTGTCAAAAACCGAATAAGTTGATAATACTGTCTCACACATTTCAAATTTTTCTTGGAAAACTAATGAAAGGAAAAATTTGAAAATTTTTGCAAGAGAAGAGTTAGAAGCTCATTTTCCCAAAATTTCAAATTTTTCAAGTAGACAATAACAACATGAGGATTGGATAGATTTTCTTTGCTTTCCTAGCCACACTGACGAAACCTAATAGGTTGAAACGCATTGTGGATGGAATAGCAAGGAAAATTAATCCAAAATTTTCACATCAGTGGATAATGAGAGAAAACTTGTTTTCCCTATTCTGAGTTTTCCCAACTAACTGATTTTTGGTCAGCCTATTGATGGTCAGTACTAAAACAGCAAAAGTGCTGTTTAGTGTTGAATCCTAGTTTTTGATGGTGCCACGATCAAATTTTGCTCGTCGAACATGAGGCATCTTGGAAATCAACCAACTGAATAACTGAAATAATTGAAAATACAGTCTCACATATTTCAAAGTTTTCCTGAAAAACTAATGAAGGGAAAATTTTGAAACTTTTTGCATGTAAAGAGGAAGATAAGAAGCTCATTCTCCCAAAATTTTAAATTTTTCCAGTGGAAAATAACAACATGAAGAATCTTGGAAATCAACCTACAATAACTGAATTAATTGAAAATATTGTCTCACACAATTCAAAGTTTTCTTAGAAAACTAGTGAAGAGAAAATTTTGAAACTTTTCGCACGTAAAGAGAAAGGGGAAAAGCTCGTTTTCCCAAAATTTCGAATTTTTCTAGTGGAAAATAACAACATGTAAAATCTTGGAAATCAACTTACAAAAACGGAAATAATTGTTAATACAGTTTCACACAATTCAAAGTTTTCCTGCAAAACTAATTAAGAGAAAATTTTGAAACTTTTTACATGTGAAAAGGAAGGTCAGAGGCTCATTTTCCCAAAATTTCAAATTTTTCCCCTGGAAAATAACACGAAGAATCTTGGGAATCAACTTCCAATAACTGAATTAATTGAAAATACAGTCTTACACATTTTAAAGTTTTCCTGGAAAACTAGTGAAAGCAAAAATTTGAAACTTTTTGCATGTGAAGAGAAAAGTTAGAGGCTCATTTTCCCAAAATTTCAAATTTTTTCAGTGGCAAATCACAACATGAAGAATCTTGGGAATCAACCAAAAATAACTGAATTAATTAAAAATACTGCCTCACGTAATTCAAAGTTTTCCTGCAAAACTAGTGAAGGGAAAATTTTGAAACTTTTTGCATATAAAGAGGAAGGCCAGAAGCTCATTTTACCAAGATTTCAAATTTTTCCAGTGGAAAATAACAACATGAAAAATCTTGGAAATCAACTTACAAAAACTAAAATAATTGTTAAAACAGTCTCACACAATTCAAAATTTTCCTGTAAAACTAGTGAAGGGAAAATTTTGAAACTTTTTACATGTGAAAAGGAAGGTCAGAGGTTCATTTTGCCAAGATTTCAAATTTTTCCAGTGAAAAGTAACAACATGAAAAATCTTGGAAATCAACTTACAAAAACTTAAAGGATTATTAATGTTAATACAGTCTCACACAATTCAAAATTTTCCTGGAAAACTAATTCAGGGAAAACTTTGAAACTTTTTGCATGTGAAGAGGAATGTCAAAGACTAATTTTCCTAGAATTTGAAATTTTTCCAGTGGAAAATAATAACATGAAGAATCTTGGAAATCAACCTCCAATAACTGAATTAATTGAAATTACAGTCTCACACATTTTAAAGTTTTCCTGGAAAACTAGTGAAAGCAAAAATTTTAAACTTTTTGCATGTAAAGAGAAAGGGGAGGAGAAGCTCATTTTCCCAAAATTTCAAATTTTTCCTATGGAAAATAACAATATGAAGAATCTTGGAAATCAGCCAGTCAAAAACTGAATTCTCTTGCCATTTGGAGCATGTTTTCTATGGATTTGGATTTAATGACATAAAACCCAATGAAGTTGGAATAGCCCCTTGCCTATCTAGTCAATACATATATTTGCGGCTAACATTAGAGAGAGATATAGGAAATCTAATAGACTTTTTGCCCTTACTAGCGCTATCTCATTCTGGAATCAATTGAATCTATATAATTCTCTCAACTTCATTGCATGAAACCTCGATTCTCTATCCTGAAATTTTTCCTTTCAATTTCCAGTCAAAATTGGAATCGTATCGAGACATGCAAAACTCTGGCAAAGAACTGAACACCGATCAAAAGACTGCCCTGGCAAAGATCAACGAGGTCATGATGACTCTGGAATTTGCGAGGGATTTATACAAACAGTTCCTAGGTAAAAACCACTTTACAATTATCCAAACAAAAATTCAAAGATTTGAACTGATTTAGGCATAGCTGCGAGTTCAGAAAGGGACGCTAAAAAACAGGCGAAACGTGAAGCTGCTCTAAAAAATCAAGCTGAAATGGCCAGGCTTAGGGAAATTTTATTGGTACAAGACGCTCTGAATCAAATGGGAACTGACGGTGTTAGAGATGACTTTTTGAATGGAAGAAACGGTGCTGCTCAATTGACTGAAGCTGATCTTAAGTAAGTAATAATAATTGAATTTTTTCAGGATAATTTTGTTAGTTGTTTTGTAAAAAAAAAAGACTTTTATCTTAGGTTTAAGTTCAATAAAATTATATTTTCTACAGATTATTAGATGACCTTTACCCAGCTGTGACTCCTAAACACGAATCCGGAAACCCAACGACTTTTACCAATGAAGTGCAAGCGGCCGCCGAACATCTACTAGCAGTAGTGGATGGAAAACCCAAAGACGTCTTTGGCGGCACCTACAGCCAAGTCAAGGAAATCCTAGGCAAAATCCACGAAAGCGGATACTTTGATCAAGCTCAAGAATCTCCCATTGAAGAAGAAAGCGTCGAAGTACCCGTGGAACCACCAGTTTTGGACTTGGCTGAACCTCTAGTTGAAGTTTCCAGCGAGATTAGCTTGGCAGGCCCTATTGAAACGATAACAATAGAGGCCAGCAATCATCCGGCGATTATTAATAGGGCGCCACAACAAGCCCCTATTTCTGTGGTGCAGGCGCTTCAGATGTCGCCCGTGCCGCACGTGCTCGATTCTGTGCCGCCGCACCATCAGCCACCGCCACAAGAGATTTTTTTTCAGCCTCAACCGCAACCGCCAAGACCCATAACTGAAATGTTGGGGACTGGGAATTTCTTTTTTTTACAGGTAAGAATTTGAGTTTTATAACTACTCCTTTTTCAATTGTAGTTGAGCTCCCAATTTTTCTCTTTTTATCCTGGAAGTTTCATAATTTTCCTTCCAGTAGTTTTCCAGAAAAATATTAAAATATAAGAGAATGTATTTTTGCTTAATTTAGATTTTGCAAGTCGATTTTCATTAGTTTCCCATGGTGTTGTTTTTCACTGGAAAAATTTGAAATTTTAGTATAATGAGCTTTGAATATTCCTCTTTTTATCCTGAAAGTTTCATAATTTTCCCTTCAGTAGTTTTCCAGAAAAATATTAAAATGTAAGAAATTGCATTTTTGCTTAATTCAGATTTTGCAAATTGATTTTCATTAGTTTCCCATGGTGTTGTTTTTTATTGGAAAAATTTGAAATTTTAGTGTAATGAGCTCCTATTTCTCCTCTTTTCACTCTGAAAATTTCATAATTTTTCCTTCAGTACTTTTCCAGAAAAATATTAAAATGTAAAGCCGGCTACAGGCGGTCCGGCAGACCTGTAAGTTCAAACTGAACAGTTAGCCTGAAGGCCGGTCGCCGGGGAGACTGATGACCCTCCAAATGTTCAGGCAAACCTGAAATATTCTTCAGTCTCAATCATCATGTAGTATTAATTTTTTTTAGAACAGAGTAGACTTCGTACAAGAAGAATCGTTCTCCTTCCATTTTTCTACCAATTTCAAATACGCCGCTTCTTTCTTACCACGGCCGTGTAAGTTTTCCGATTTGACTTGCCAGAGACACGACTCGCTATGATAAATTGCGATATATTTCGTGCGACATGGCGTAACAAGCTCATTACTCACTACTGAACTATCTGAACTGACGGTTCGACAGTCGACCGTGCCATACACACGTTCAGACTTGACTTTGAGTACGTCAGGCTGGCCGGATGAACGAACATAATTTTGATTTTACTCCGGCCGCCTGAACAGTCTTAACTGACAGATCGACCGGAATATATACACGTTCAGGCGACCGGTCTCCAGTCGGACTGTTCAGTTCGAACTGACAGGCCTGACGGACCGTGTGTAGCCGGCTTAAGAGATTGCATTTTTGCTTAATTTAGTTTTTATAAGTTGATTTTCATTAATTTTCCATTGTGTTGTTTTTCACTGGAAAAATTTGAAATTTGGTTATAATGAGCTTTGAATATTCCTCTTTTCATCCTGAAAGTTTCATAATTTTCCTTCCAGTAGTTTTAATTTAGATTTTGCAAGTCGATTTTCATTAGTTTCCCTTGGTGTTGTTTTTCACTGGAAAAATTTGAAATTTTAGTATAATGAGCTTTGAATATTCCTCTTTTTATCCTGAAAGTTTCATAATTTTCTCTTCAGTAGCTTTGCAGAAAAATATTAAAATGTAAGAGATTGCATTTTTGCTTAATTTAGTTTTTATAAGTTGATTTTCATTAATTTCCCATTGTGTTGTTTTTCACTGAAAAATTTTGAAATTTGGTTGTAATGAGCTTTCAATATTCCTTTTTTCGTCCTGAAAGTTTCATAATTTTTGTTCCAGTAGTTTTCCAGAAAAATATTAAAATGTAAGAGATTGCATTTTTGCTTAATTTAGATTTTCAGTATAATGAGCTCTAAATATTCCTTTTTTCATCCTGAAAGTTTCATAATTTTTCCTTTAGTAGTTTTCCAGAAAAATATTGAAATGTAAGAGATTGCATTTTTGCTTAATTTAAATTTTGTAAGTCGATTTTCATTAGATTTCTATGGTGTTGTTTTTCACTGAAAAAATTTGACATTTCAGTATAATGAACTCTGAATGTTCCTCTTTTCATCCTGAAAGTTTCATAATTTTTCCTTCAGTAGTTTTCCAGAAAAATATTAAAATAGAGATTGCATTTTTGCTTAATTTAGATTTTGTATGGTGTTGTTTTTCACTGAAAAAATTTGACATTTCAGTATAATGAGCTCTGAATGTTCCTCTTTTCATCCTGAAAGTTTCATAATTTTTCCTTCAGTAGTTTTCCAGAAAAATATTAAAATAGAGATTGCATTTTTGCTTAATTTAGGTTTTCTATGGTGTTGTTTTTCACTGAAAAAATTTAGATTTTGTAAGTCGATATTCATTAGTTTTCTTCCATGGTGTTGTTTTTCACTGGAAAAATTTGACAGTTCAGTAAAACGAGCTCTGAATATTCCTCTTTTCATCCTGAAAGTTTCATAATTTTTCCTTCAGTAGTTTTCCAGAAAAACATTAAAATGTAAGGGATTGCTTTTTTGCCTAATTTAGATTTTGTAAGTCGATTTTCATTAGTTTCCCATAGGGTTGTTTTCCACTGGAAAAATTTGAAACTTTAGTATAATGAACTTTGAATATTCCTCTTTTCATCCTGGAAGTTTCAAAATTTTCTCTTCAGTAGTTTTCCAGAAAAATTGAAATGTAAGAGATTGTATTTTTGCTTAATCAAGACTTCCCATTCTGAATTACAATTACAATTTCTGAAATTTAATTTCCCTTTCCTCAGATACATTCTCCGCTTATTTAGGAATTACAAATAGAAAAATATAGTGTTAATCAGACGGTTATTAATTATTTCAGGAATCTGAAATCGACACTCCCGAACAAATATCCACCCAAACCTTCACCAACCAAACCTTCATGCCCCCGCCGATTCCACTGCCGTCTCACTTCCAACCCCTGCCCCATACGTCCCCAGTGAACCACCAAATGCCCCCCAACGGAGCTGTGCAGCAACAAGTTCCAGTACAAGACGAAGCTCTGAGCAAACCGCAACTGGTAGACGATCTTGAAAAGCATTCCCTTGGCAGGGCGCAGAACCGAGGGCCCTCATTGCAGCCCACTTCTTTTTACAATAACGGCTACACTAACAGGACTAGTAGACCGGCTCCGCAACAGCATTCGAGAAACAATAATGGGGTGCAGCAGCATCATCAACAAGGCAGGGCCCAAACCAACAGGCACTAGTATTTGGCCTTTTTTTTTAATTTTTTTGGCTAGATTTAGTTTTTGGTTAAAACTGGCTCAATTTTAGAAATTGTTTTTTCTATATTATTTTGGTGCAAGGTGCCCATTACTTTGTGCTGGCTTCATAAAATAATGATTGATCAAAAACTAAATCAAATTAAGTCAATTATTTAAATTTCTGTTAATTTTTACAAATATCTTAAAATGGCATTTAAATATTGACATATTGAAAAATTGAACAAGGCACAAATCTAGTCACCTGTTTATTGGAAATCTTCTCTTCTGAATTTCAAAAATTGCCCTCGAGGCAACAAAAATTTGAAATGCCTTTATTGATAATTAATTTCTATAAGTTTCAATACCTACTTTTCTACCTTTCAGTATGTATTAGAGTTAAAAAGGAACATTTCTCTTTTTTTTATTATTAATGTAATAATTGATTTAAATAATGTAAAATAAAAACAAAATATATATAATTTATTGAAGTTTGTTTTGTGTGTAGCTTAAATGGATTCATATTTTTTCTATCCCAGGCTATTGAAATTTCAATAAACCCAAGAGCCGAGAATAGACAAAAATTGAAAAATAGAAAAGAACTTTTTAAAATAAAACTGGTTTATTTATATTATACATAAATATTTACAAGTTTATATGCTTTTCGAAGAAATTCCCTTATCACAGTAGTTTACAGTGAATAATTAAATTGTCCCAGATACTAACCAATCAAGTGCAACATTAGTAAATATTCTGTGTCTATTACGCTAAAAATACAATAAAGAATATAAAAAAGAATATCAGCACCCCAAACACTTTAATCATGAGCCATCGATTCGAAGACACCGACTTGAAGTATTTTAAAATTTGCGCGTGGGCTGCTTCAATGTTTAGTTCAGCATCTTGTACATTTGTATCTATTCTTTCAACCTAAAAAAAATACATACAAAAAACTGCTTATTTTTATAAAATTCGTACCATTTCTTCTTGTTCTTTAACCATATGAGCCAATTGCTGAAATATACCACCCAATTCCACAATAGTAGATTCAATGTTTTGCATAGTCTCAGCCCGGCTTTGTAAATAATTGTCCGTTTCATCGTACATAAGGGCAGCCTGCATTTGGCTCTGCGATTGACGAGGTATTAATGGTTGATTTTCCAAATTGACACTAACTTGACTGTCTTGCTCTTGAAACAACAGACTTGCTATTGGATTGAAAATTATTAATTTTAATTTTTTTATATAAGGGTTTATTATTACATTGTCCATTGGTGGGAGGTGGTAAGCCTCCTTGACTAAACTGATCCCTCCTGTTTTTTTGGTGCCTCAAATTTTCAGTTCTAACTTCCAATATTTGCTTGAAGTCCGTAGACATGGTTGCCAGTTTTGATTGCAAAGCTAAAACAATGTTGCTAGAGTGCGACTGTAAATGTTTGCCATTGGTGGACTGTTTTTGTCTTTTGGAGACGTTTTGCAGCTGGGCTATTTGCTGGTTCAAACTATTCAGGTCACTTTTGATGATATAAGTTAGCTCTTGAATTTCTGCAGTTTTGTCGTCAAATAGGGATTTTCTTTTTGCCACTAGAATAAACAATATAAATTGTTGTTGGTTGTTGTTAATTTTTACTTACGTAAAGTTAATTTTTCTAGTTTAGCATAAGTGCTTGCGATATTTTTGCCAACATTTTTGGCTATCAGCATAAACTCAGAGTGACTCTGGATGACTTTGGATTTTTTGGGGTCCCTGACTGCAACTGCTCTGGCGATATTCCTGCCCTAAAAACACAATTCAATATGAAGATGAATATAAAAATCAGATACATTAACAATTTTCCAAAAACAGATTTCTGTCAGAAGAATATGGAAAGAAAACTAAATGTGTCTATTGTTGAAATCTCCTTTTGGTATAGCAATCTGTGTTTTTGGAAATATAGGCTTGATGATTCAACACTATGGTAAATTTCAATTACCTTGAAATCACCTGAGATGAACTATAAATTCATACAACCACTATATTTATGACTTTTTGGAGAGTTACAAAAACCACAGAGGACACCAACATATTGATTTCCCAACAAGAGTTAGAAATGCCCAGCAATCACTTCTAGACTTACAACGAATGAGAAAAAAGTTTGTAGAGAATTTAATTGGCTTCAGCTTTATTAGACTGGAATCGGATGAAAATTAACAAAACTGTGAAACAAAAACTGTCTCAGTGCAAGGGGTGTTGTACAAATATCATACATTCATGTATATTATGCAGTCCATACATTCTTCTGCAGTCCATACATTCTCATGCAGTCAATGGAATATAATATGGACTCATGCAGTCATAATACAGTCACTGTGTGCAAATCTGAGGTACAGTCACATGCAGTAGCCTACATTCCATATACACTCGCGCAAAATCGTAAGCAGTCGCTGCGAATAGTGCAGAGGCGGATTTAGGATATTTGGCGCTAGAAGCAGAAAAATTTTTGGCGGCCTTCGTCCTTGCCAAGGAAGATGGACCAAATCACAGATTACAAAATATGTAGTTCCAACGGCGAAATTTTTTGGGAACCTACCGAAACTAACCGTGTTCGAATGATTTCACGTATTGAGAAAAAAAAAAAGGCTTTTCTAATCGAAAAACCAGAAACTACAAAAAATGAGTTAGTTAAAGTTCACCAAATTGTCGAAATATACAGTGTCCCACGAGGTTTTACCCGAGTGATAACTTCGGAACGCGTTATCGAATGTTCCACGTAATTTTGTATCATTTTTTTCAATTCAAATTCGAATCAAGGAGAAAGTCCGCTCCATCAGTATCATTTTCCTTAAAAAAAGCCCTAACAAATATAGTATTGCCGATTTTGTAAATTAATTTATGTAGAAGCGGCACAAAAATTTACCTAGATCCTTAAAATTACAATAAATGACGCGTTCCGAAGTTATCACCTGGGTAAAACGTCCTCATGGGAAACCCTGTATATTTACTTATAATATAACTTTTGAAATGACCAATGGGTTAAAGAAATAATCAGTTGCCTGAATTTTGAAATTTTTGGCGCCCCCAAAATTTGACGCTGGAAGCGACTGCTTCTTTTGCTTCATAGGAAATCCGCCTCTGGAATAGAGCCTGCAATCTTATCATCTTTGATGCAATCAATGCAGTCAAATATAGAAGGTGTACAAAATTTAATAGGTGAAACTTCCCTCGTCTTAGTCGAGGTCTTATGGCCATTTCCACCATTTTTTTTAGGGAAGCCCTAACGATAGGTATGCCTTAAACTGACATTTCTCCATGTAAAAATGTCATGTTAGGGAATACTTATCGTTAGGGCTCCCCTAAAATGGTTGGTGGAAACGGCCATTAGTGTCATTTTGGGAAAATTTTCAATGTTCCATAAATTCAATTTTGAAGCTAGTAGAAAGAGGAAGGACAGAAGCTCATCATACTGAAATTTCAAATTAATTTGATGAAAAATGGCAACATGGGAAAATCTTGAAGATCCATTTAAAAAAAAAATTAAGAAAAATGCACACAAGGGGCAAACCACCTAGGAATTCTTTGCCAAAAATGTGGGGAATTTAGAGGAATTTGTGGGAAATTTAGAGGAATTTGTGAGGAATTTGAAGGAACTCATCCAAATTTATGAGAATTTGGGGAATTTATGGAAATTTGGAAGAATTTATGGAAAATTTGTGAGGAATTTATGAGGAATTTGAAGGAAATTGTCAAATTTAAAAAATTCAAAAGAATAATGAATAAAGTTTTTGTAGGCTGATTTCCAAGATTTTTCATGTTGTTATCGACGTTGTTATTTTCTGCTGAAAAAATTTGAAATTTTGGAAAAATGAGCTTCTTACTTCCCTCTTTACATGCAAAAAGTTTCAAATTTCTCTCTTCACTAGTTTTCCAGGAAATCTTTGAAATATGTAAGACTGTATTTTCAATTAATTCAGTTATTGTAGGTTGATTTCCAAGATTTTTCATGTTGCTGTTTTCCACTGGAAAAATTTGAAATTTTGGGAAAATGAGCTTCTCACCTTCCTCTTTACATACAAAAAGTTTCAAAATTTTCCGTTCACTAGTTTTCCAGGAAAACTTTGAAATGTGTGAGACTGTATTTTCAACTAATTCAGTTTATGTAGGTTGATTTCCAAGATTTTTCATGTTGTTATTTTTCACTGGAAAAATTTGAAATTTTGGGAAAATGAGCTTCTTACCTTCCTCTTTACATGCAAAAAGTTTCAAATTTCTCTCTTCACTAGTTTTCCAAGAAAACTTTGAAATGTGTGAGACTGTATTTTCAATTAATTCAGTTATTGTAGGATGATTTCCAAGATTCCTCATGTTGTAATTTTCTACTTGAAAAATTTGAAATTTTGGGAAAATGAGCTTTTCACCTTCCTCTTTGCATGCAGAAAGTTTCAAAATTTTCCCTTCTCTAGTTTTCTAGGAAAACTTTGAAATGTGTGAGACCGAGTGTGAGACTGTACTTTCAACTAATTCAGTTTATGTAGGTTGATTTCCAAGATTTTTCATGTTGTTATTTTCCACTGGAAAAATTTGAAATTTTGGAAAAATGAACTTCTCACCTTCCTCTTTACATGCAATAAGTTTCAAATTTCTCTCTTCACTAGTTTTCCAGGAAAACTTTGAAATGTGTGAGACTGTATTTTCAACTAATTCAGTTTTTGTGGGTTGATTTCCAAGATTTTTCATGTTGCCGCTTTCCAATGGAAAAATAAGAAATGTTGGGAAAATGAGCTTCTCACCTTCCTCTTCACATACAAAAAGTTTCAAAATTTTCCGTTCACTAGTTTTCCAGGAAAACTTTGAAATGTGTGAGACTGTATTTTCAACTAATTCAGTTTATGTAGGTTGATTTCCAAGATTTTTCATGTTGTTATTTTTCACTGGATAAATTTGAAATGTTCGGAAAATGAGCTTCTCACCTTCCTCTTTACATGCAAAAAGTTTCAAAATTTTCTCTTTTCTAGTTTTCCAGGAAAACTTTGAAATGTGTTCGAGACTGTATTTTCAACAAATTCAGTTTTTGTAGTTTGATTTCCAATATTTTTCATGTTGCTGTTTTCTACTGGAAAAATTAGAAATTCTGGGAAAATGAGCTTCTTACCTTCCTATTTATATACAGAGTTTCAAAATTTTCCCTTTTTTTAGAGGAATTTGTGATGAGATATCTGGAGGAATTTGGAGGAATTGGTAGGAACTTTGAGGAATTATGCGTGAAAAATTCCCTTTTGAGGAATTGTTTGCACCAATTCTGAGATGGTGGTTTACCCCTTGATGTACCCTTTCACATTTTGATGTTTTTTCCAAAAACTGTTGATGGAAAAATTTTGAAACTTTGGGGGTAGAAAGAGAAAGGAAAGGAGCTCATCATACTGAAATTTCAAATTAATTTGATGGAAAATGGCAACATGGGAAAATCTTCAAAATCAACTTACAAAAACAAATTAAGAAAAATGCATCCTTTAACATTTTGATGCGACACACATGAAAACCCTAAGAAAACACAAAAACTATCACAACAATCCACAAGAGCCCAGAAACCCAATAGAAAATTTCAAAAACCCAGAATTTTGCCAACCCTGATAAAATTACACCACTTTTTTCTAAGAATACAGAAGAGTTTACTTCCGCTTGAAAGCTGCTAAGTCACCAATATACAAGAAAGGAAACAACAAATGCAATAAGAAATTTCCAATCAATAGAATAGTCTACAATTATTACATTGGAACCGCTTGAGTGTTGACATAAATCTACATCCAGAAATCAATTCAAGAATCGCCTCAATCAGGAAATGAGAAGTTGGACCCAGAGCTGTCACAAGTACATTACTCAAGTACCTACTTTGAAGTACAAATACCAAGTCGAGGGGTTAATCACTCCCCGAAATCGTGTCACAAATTCGTCCGAAATCCCCGAAATCTTTCCGAAATCGCCGAAATCCTTCCGAAATCCACGAAATCACTCCGAAATCTGCCGAAATCTCTCAGAAATCTTTCCGCAGACCCAAATATCCCTCGCAACAGACCCAAAATCCTTAAATCGGTCAACGCGACCGTTTTTCAGTTTATACCAATACACCTTCGACTCGACTATACTTATAAGTTGAGTGACAGTCTAAAATACAATTGAAATATTTGCAAATTTAACGCAACTGAAGAAATTCGGCCTTGCTAGTGGCCTTTTCTACATAATGATTTAATTTTGGCAATGCTTTGACTAGTCTGACACAATATGTTAACCTGACAAACATTCAAGCCCGTGGTCAGTTCATTGGGTCACATATATCCAATGAACTATAAACTACACGTACCTGGAATGGCACCGGTCCGGTGCCACCGGACCGTTGTCATCTCTCTTAGGGTGGGTATTATAAAACTGCTTTCACAGTTAACTTGAAGTTAACTTTTTGAATTACATGTAATTCCAGAAGTTAACTTTAAGTTAACTTTCAAAGTAGTTCTATAATACCCGCCCTTAGTGCGTCCAAAGAAAGCTATATAATGGGGGATCCCTTTCTCTCTCTATTTCATTGCTGTTAGGTTTGGTGTATATTCCTAACCTCAAATTTAATATTTTTTAGAAAAGGAAACTTTTCATAAGTGACCCATAAGGTAAATAGAGATAGGAATCCCCTACATTCTCCATCTCAATTTGCCGCATTTTAGAGATAGGCCGGGCCATTCCAGGTACGTGTAGTTTATAGTTCATTGCATATATCTCATGGGTGTAGTGGTCAAAAACTGAGTAGGTCACCCAGGGTTGCCAGGTCGAAAAAAAATTATTCATGAGAAAATGCAGCAAAAATCTTGAGTTTATCAGTAAAAATCATGAGATGACTAATTTTATCGGGAATCGACAAAAAAATGCGTCTATTTTAATAAAATGCATTTTTATTGGTTAAAAAATTACTTTTATCTGAAAAATACAACACAAAACATAAAACATAACAAAAAAAATAAAATAAATACCTCAAAACACAAAAATTACCAATTACCTAATAGGTATAGGTTGGTAGATACCTACTTCCTATATTAGGCGTAACGTCATTCCAGAAGTTAACTTTTAGTTATTCTGTCAATTTTTTTTCATAATACCCGTCATAAAGTTAACGCATTTAGGGCGGGTATTATAAAACTGCTTTGACAAGTTAACTTTTTGAATTACATGTAATTCCAGAAGTTAATTTTAAGTTAACTTTCAAAGTTGTTTTATAATACCCGCCCTTAACCTGTTTCTCGCTTCTGATTTATTTATAGCGTTTTCCATTTGTCGAACCAGTGCAAAAAAAATGTATCCTTATCCTTACATGTTACATGGTCGGGGATTCTAAAATCACGATTCGACATACGATTCGACAACGAGACGATTTTTCCGACGATTCTAGGTTAGAAATCTCATTGGAATTATACCTTTCGACACGACAAGGCCGGTATCGTTGTCGAGTCGTGTGTCGAATCGTGATTTTAGAATCTCAGCCATGCTTTTAGAAAAAGATGCGGATACACTCAGTGCGCACTGATTGACAAATGGAAATCGCCATTATATTAGGTCTGTTCACACAGAAATCACGAAGCAGTCAAAGTGAATTTCATTGGTTGAAACAAGTTTCCTGACTGTTTTCAACCAATGAAATTGGCCCTGGCTCATTTGTGATTTCTGTGCGAACAAACCTATAAATTATAGAAAATATTCATTCTACACAAGCGCTTGAATGTGATAATGTTAAAATATCAAACACAAAGTTTGAATTTTAAATGAAAATAATAGAATTACCGGAGTATGTGTATTGCGCCAAAAATCATGAGATTTTTGTTGAAAATCATGGAATCATGAAAAATGTGTCCAAATCATGAGATCTCATGAAAAATCATGAGATCTGGCAACCTTGAGGTCACCGCTCAGATCAAACTAGAAAGGTGTACAGGGTTATTGATTATAAACGTCACCCCCTTTATCTTTTTTATTTGACATTTTAGAAAAAAGTGTCCCAACTAAAAGTTTTATCGTTGAAATTAAATTTTTTGAAAAACTCACCTTGACATATACAGGGTGTTTCAGAAAAGCTGGTCGTGCTCCAACTTTCTTATTTTAAATGGAATACCCTGTATATTATTAAATATTTGGATTCTATATAAAATTCTGAGCAGATTTCATTTGACATACCCTATACCTAAGTTCAACTGTTTTGGAAATATTGACAGTTGAAAATTGACTTTTTTGCGAATTTGACAGGCTGTAAAACCTAAACGGGTAATTTTAGAGCAAAACCGATCTTTCATTTTTTTCTCAGATCTTCATAAGCTATGATTTGACACCAACTTTGAATTAAACTGGAGATTAAATTTAATTGGAATTTTTAATTATGGATTAAATTCGAAGTTGGTATGTCAAATATCAGTGTCAACTGATAGTTTATGAAAATCTAAGACAAGAATGTATGGTCGGTTTTGCTGTAAAATTAACCGTTTAGGTTTTACAGCCTGTCAAAGTTGGAAAAAAGTCAATTTTCAATTGTCAATATTTCCAAAACAGTTGAACTTAGGTATGAGGTATATCACATGAAATCTGCTCAGAATTTTATGTAGAATCCGAAAATTTAATAATATACAGGGTATTCTATTTAAAAAAAGAAAGTTGGAGCACGACCAGCTCTTCTGAAACACCCTGTATATGCGAAAGTGAGTTTTTCAAAAAATTTAATTTCAACCATAAATTTTTTATTTGAGACACTTCTAAAATGTCAAATAAAAAAGATAAAGGGGGGTGACATTTATAACCAATAACCCTGTACAAAGGCTAATCTGTCTATAGACGCTGGCCTCTACTTCATCTAAGTGTGAAAAAAGGCGCATATAATCACTTGTAGAAATAGGTTATTCCAGAAAAATGAATTCTACAAAGAAAATTTGTGGAAATTGAATTCAATAAAAATTGAAAAATTAGAGTTAGTGCGGGATTCGAACCCACGACTATGACATTGCTAGTAAGGAGCTCTACCAACTTAGCCAACCAACCCACTTGAGAAGATTTTCGGCGAATTAACGGCTGCTTCGTTCGAATCCCACACACTCCAATCATTTTAATACTCAATACTCTATTACAAATTTAAAAGATTTAGAATAATAATACATAATTATTATTCTATGCTTTAAATAATATCAACATACTGTGTTGTTAGATACCTAGAAAGCTAAATTTCTGACTCCAATGGTTCACGAATGTGGCATCAGTCCCGCTAGGATAAGTCGCGTATACCACTGTTTCGCAGGTTTCTTCCACGATGTGTTAAAATTTCAAAGCACCTACAGTACAAGCAAAGTTAAAGAAAGGGAGAACTTTTGTCGGTTTAGATAACGAAACTAATTTTACAAACAAAAATTGTGGAAATTGAAATTACTGGAAATATTGTGTGTGTTATTTCGCTGAAAATCTGCCAGGTGGGTTGGTTTTCTCAGTTGGTAGAGTTTCGAGTTTTGTACTAGCAATGCGATGGAAAAGGGTTCGAAAGCCGCACTAACTCCAAATTTTCAATTTTCCATTGAATTTAATCTCCATACATTTTCTTAGTAAAATTATTTTTGGTATCTTAACCGACAAAAATTTCTCCTTGTGTTCAAGTGAATTCAAGCCTTGAGATATGAAAGGTCACCTGCGCAAAGACGGTCTAACCTAGAAATTCTAATCGCTGTGATAATTAATATTCGCCAATCATGGGAGAATAAAGAGCTACAACATGCAGCGAGCACCTCGCTGAGATATACAGAGGACTCCAATTTAGCGAACGGAGCTGAATTGGCTGGACTGGTATTTCAGAAACTTCAAGGTATCCAAGCCACTGGGCAAATATCCAACCATATACCAAGCTGAATTGCTTGCAATCCATATTTGTGCATAAGAGTGTCCAAACCAAAACATTAAAATACACGTTTTGATATTATCAGACAGCCAAGCGGCTCCACCAGGCTCTGAAGGCCTGCAAATGCGTTTCAAAGCTATTCTGGGAATGCCACTAGACCCTAAAACTACAAACGATGCGCAACCTGGAAACCTTGATATGGGTGCAGGTTACGAGGAAGCATAGCCAGCCTCGCGAATAAGGTGCTGAAGCAACATTTTGCGACATAATGAAAAGCCACGTAACCAAAGAACTATATAATTGGAAGAAGGACCAATTGTCCACATACTAGAGAGAAACTCCAGGACTGGGTCAGGCAAAAAGAGTCATCACAAAATAGGGCAGAACAGGTCTTGTCTACACATAAACAGAAATGATATCAGATTGATGGTCGTAGTGCTCACCAGACAGTGCAGACACTGCCCAGTGAAATATCACCTAGCAATAGAAAAGCTAGAAGACGTCAACTGCAGATTTTGAAAATCCGCAGCTGAAACGACAAAACATTTACTCTGCGACTATCCGGCCCAACTCTCGAAAAGGCAGGGAAACTGCACCCAGTGTTTAAATATTTAGTTGTATTAAAAAGTGCCTTTTTTGAAACATTTTTTTTTTTTCTTCTTCTACCCCCTTTTTGAGGCCACTGAACTAAATTTTCGAGTGTTAATATATATCACGTTTTTCTATTTGATTTTCTAATGAGAACAAAAAAAACCGCATGCTTACATCATTAAAAGTGCCACGGCAGGTGAAAAATGACCATAGGCCCCCCGGCTATACTATTACACATACTTCTACTTTTCATTTGATCGAGAATATTGTGAGAGGGGTGGTTCAAAAGTAGGTATAAAAATAATAATTTGTTTTTAGTTAGCCTGAAATATATAATATTTTTAGAATTTATCAATAATTTGGTCGAAATCTCTAGGCAATGACGTTCCAAATCACCAAAATATAAAATATAGGTGTGTCTTGAAATTCCTAAAACTCCTCCGAAATCATTCGAAATCATCCAAAATCCTCTGAAATCACCCGAAATCCTTCGAAATTACCCGAAATCCTTCGAAATCACCTGAAATCCTTCGAAATCCCTCAAAATCGCTCTAAATCCGAAATCTTGTCACATTTTTCCCTTAGTGATTAACCCCTCGTACCAAGTATCTACTGAATGTTTTATAGAAGTAACTGAAGTAGGTACAAGTACATTTGAAGTATTTCAAGTTTCAAGTACTTTTACTTAAAATACGAGTTAAAATACATTTTAATGGGGCTTTCTCATAAATATAAAACATGACAATTTTTTCATTAAATATTTTTCTTAGAAGCTTTGTCAAAAATTAGCCAACAACCCAACAAGCAGCCTCTAATGTCTGTCTTATTTTAAATATTTGAAAATATAAAGTACTTCAAGTACACCTTTGAAGTACTTGCAACACTTTAATTGTACTTTAAATACTTTTACAGTACTTGGACTGCTTTTATTTACTTGATAAAATCAAGTACAATGCAAAGTACATTGATAAAAATAGTTCAAGTACCTACCTAGTATAAGTACCGTTTATCCACTATACTTCAAGTACCTACTTATAAGAATTTGGAGTACAGTTTAAAGTATTTTTCATGGAGTACCTAACAGCTCTTGAGGGACCACATCCTCTTTAGTGTATTACTTTGTATACACCAAAATACAGAACTAAGACTGTAATAGCTATCCAATATCTCACCTGTAAGGTCTGTATAGTATTCACAAACTCACTAGTCCTATCTCTGGCAGTCATAATGGGATCTGGCTCTTTGATATCTTCAATATGGTCTTCTAAGTAGTAATCTTCTGGCACATTATTCGGATATGAACTGTTGATTCTGTCGTATTTGTCTGTCTGAGGCCTTACAACGACAGAATTTTCAGTTTCTGAATTCGTGCGACGTCTTCTGGGAAGCATTGCATTCTAGAGTCTACAAGTCCTTGGGGAACAGTGACTAAGCCCCAATTTTTTTCAATAATACTTAATTCATGGATTTTATTTGAAGATTTACACTAAACTGTGGGGAATAATTTGAATTAATTAGATATGGGGTGATTTGAAAGGAAATTATTGATAATAGAAAGTTTTGTAATTTTTAACAAATATACAAGTTTTTCTTTTAGGTTAGACACGTCCCCAAACAACTGACTTTTTGACAGTTAGACAATGACAATACAAACCATGTACACATACAAGATGACGTAGCGGCCACACATGGACCAAAAAACACAAAAAAATATCTAGTTTCTGCCCAATTTAATAGTTAAGGTACCTAGTCAGCAAATATTTTATCGAATAATCAAAGTTGCAAGCAAAACTCTAAGCGAAACAATTTAAAATACTCATAAAAACATATTCAAAACAAACTTACTTGGCTGCCACGCCATATTGAATTTTCCTTTTTGACAGATGGATAATTTTTGGATTTTTGGAAAATAAACATTTATTCCAGTTTTCCACTATTTAGATAAAAAAAAAATCAATTAAATTTGGCTGGAAAAATAATTAAAATATTGCTAATTACATTAAAAATAAATTAAAACAATAGAAAAAAAATTACGTCCACTGAATGCACCCTTCAAACCTAACCTCAAAAATTTTTTGTTGTGTTGTGTTGTCATTAACCTGTCAGCTGGTTGCTGGTTTTTTAATTTTAATAATTATTTTTCTCCAAGATTTAACTTAATTAAATTCAAAGGCTAATTACAGTGAAAAACCTAAAAATGACTTCCTTAAAACAAAGGCAAAAAGGTAAGCTACTAAAATTATTTAATAACAGAAACCCCTTAAATCAAAGATTTTGTTCAAGATGCCATCAAACAAATGTTAAACTTAAATCAGCCCCTTACAAAACATGGCTCAACGGAGCCCTCCTGGAAAATTCTTGTTTACGACAGGATAGGCCAAGACATTATTTCCCCCCTTATTTCAGTGAAAGAATTAAGAGAACAAGGAGTAACACTTTTCGTGTACGATACCTATTTACGTGTTTAAAAATCATTAAAATCCACAATTTCCAGGCAATTGCATTCGGATCGTGACTCGATACCTGAAGTCCCAGTAGTGTATTTTTGTGCCCCAACTGAAGAGAATTTAGGTAGAATCAAGCAAGACTTCCAAAGGGGGATTTATGATATTTATCATTTGAATTTTATTTCTCCCGTGTCTAGACATAAGTTGGAAGATTTGGCTTCTGCTGCTATTGAAGCCAATTGTGTAGCAAACATTCACAAAGTAAGTATATAAGTAATGGAATTTTTATTAATACATAATGCGTGTTTTGTAGATTTATGATCAATATGTTAACTTCATATCACTTGAGGATGATATGTTTGTTTTAAGACATCAAAATAGTGATGCACTTTCTTATTATTGTAAGTCAAAGATTATGTAAAAAAAAATGGGTTGAAATAATGTGGTTTTTAGCTATAAACAAAGGAGAAATCAAAGATACAGATATGGAGGATATAATGAATAGTATAGTGGATAGTTTGTTTTCAGTATTCGTGACTTCAGGTAGGTTGATTTTAGTTAGATTATTGAATACATTGATAAATAAACATTCTCTTTGGCTAAAGATGCCATTTTTCATTGAATTGATTTGAAATTTCAATATGATGATGTGCTTTTCTACTGTAAACGTTTCAGAATTTTCCTTTCAACAGTTTTTGGAAAAAGCATCAAAATTTGCAAGGGTGCATGGTTTTTTTAAAGTTGATTTTCAAGATTTTCTCATATTGCTATTTTCCATCGAATTAATTGGAAATTTCAGTATGATCAGCTCCATTCCTTCCCCTTTCTACTGTAAAAGTTTCAACTTTTTCCCATCAACAGTTTTTGGAAAAAGTATCAAAATGTGCAAGGGTACATTTTTCTTAATTTGGTTTTTTTAAGTTGATTTTGAAGATTGTCTCATGTTGCCATTTTTCATTGAATTAATTTGAAATTTCAGTATGATGAGCTCCTCTCTTTCCTCTTTCTACTCTAAATGTTTCAAGATCCTCCCTTCAACAGTTTCTGAAGAAAACGTCAAAATGTGAAAGGGTGCATTTTACTTAATTTGGGTTTTTTAAGTGGATTTCAAGATTTTCTCATGTTGCCATTTTTCATCGAATTAATTTGAAATTTCATTATGATGAGCTCCTTTCTTTTCTCTTTCTACTGTAAAAGTTTTAAAATGTTCCCATTAAGAGTTTTTGGAAAAGACATCAAAATGAAAAAGGGTACATTTTTCTTAATTTGGTTTTTTTAGTTGATTTTCAGGATTTTCTCATGTTGCTATTTTTCATCGAATTAATTTGAAATTTCAGTATGATGAGCTTTTTTCTTTTCTTTTTCTGCTGTAAAAGTTCTAAAATTTTCCCATTAAAAGTTTTTGGAAAAGACATCAAAATGAAAAAGGGTAAATTTTTCTTAATTTGGTTTTTTTAGTTGATTTACAAGATTTTCTCATGTTGCTATATTTCATCGAATTGACTTGAAATTTCAGCATGATGAGCTCTTCTCTTTCCTCTTATTTCTCTTCTAAATATTTCAAAATTTTCCCTTCAACAGTTTTTGAAAAAAGCATTAAAGTGTGCAAAGCTGCATTTTTCTTAATTGGGTTTTTTTAAGTTGATTTTCTCATGTTGCTATTTTTCATTGAATTAATTTGAAATTTCAGTATGATGAGCTCCTCTCTTTCCTCTTTCTACTCTAAATCAGAGCTGGGCAAAGCTCTCACTGAAAGGGCTTGAAGCACTAAGCCCTAAGCCCTTTCTCAAAGTGCTTTCAATTCCAAGCACAAATTCCTTTTTATTTTCAAAAGTGCTTCACAAGCACAAAGCCCTCAAAGTGCTTAGGGCTTGGCAAGCACAAAGCCCTCAAAGTGATTTGAAAAGGGCTTGTGCTTCAAGCCCTTTTCAAAAGTGCTTGGGGTGCCTTAAAAAGTGCTTTGAAGCTCTTTAAATGTGCTTGAAGCTCTTTAAATTTGCTTGAAGCTCTTGAAATCTGCTTGAAGCTATTTGAATGTGCTTGAAGCTCTTTAAATGTGCTTGAAGCTCTTCAAAAGTGCTTGAAGTTCTTCAAAAGTGCCTGAAGCTCTTCAAAAGGTTTTGAAGCTCTCCAAAAGTGCTTGAAGCTCCTCAAAAGGGCTTGAAGCTCTTGAAATGTGCCTAAAGTACTTTGAATTTGTGATACAATTCTCAAAGTTGCAAAAACTACTGCGCATACACTTATCAGTTGAATTAGTATAGTAGAAATAGAAATGAACTTTAAATTTTACAAATTTGCAGTAGTATTTTATTTTATTTTTTGAGTGGTAATGGTAATGGTAATTCAATTTTGAGGTTTTCAAATTGTTTAATGAGGAAAAGTGAAAAAAATTCCAGTGATAAAGTTAAATAGGGTACCTTATATAAATTAATTATTTATTTAAACAATCAGCCGATTAATTTTTTTTAAATTCATTTCTAAGGTCAAACCCAAAACCTCCATTATAATAAAGAAAAGAAATTGGAGGGTCCTAGTTCAAATAATAGAAAAAAAATTAAGCCACAAAACACATCGATCCAAACTTTTTTGGTGGGGGATAGGTTAAATGATGCTCAATTCAAATTCCTTTCAAAGTGCTTCAAGCTCTTTTAAAGTGCTTGAAGCCCTTTTAAAGTGCTTCAAGCCCTTTTAAAGTGCTTTAAGCCCTTTCAAAGTGCTTCAAGCCCTTTCAAAGTGCTTCAAGCCCTTTCAAAGTGCTTCAAGCCCTTTCAAAGTGCTTCAAGCCCTTTCAAAGTGCTTGAAGCCCTTTCAAAGTGCTTCAAGCCCTCTAAAAGTAATTGAAGCTCATTGAAAGGGCTTGAATTACTTTTTTTCAATTACAAATTACCAAGCACTTTTCTGATGTAATTGACTTTGCAAGCCCCAATTACAAATATATAAAAGTGCTTGAAGCACAGGGCTTTCAAGTCCTCAAAGTGCTTCAAGCACTTTTACAAGCACAAAGCCCTCAAGCCCTGCCCAGCTCCGCTCTAAATGTTTTAAAATCCTCTCCTCAACAGTTTCTGGAAAAAGCGTCAAAATGTGAAAGGGTGCAATTTACTAAATTTGGGTTTTTTAAGTGGATTTTTAAGATTTTCTCAAGTTGCCATTTTTCATCGAATTAATTTGAAATTTCGATATGATCAGCTTCTTTCCTTTCCCTTTCTACTGTAAAAGTTTCAAATTTTTTTTCCATTAACAGTTTTTGGAAAAAGTATCGAAATGTGCAAGGGTACATTTTTCTTAATTTGGTTTTTTTAAGTTGATTTTGAAGATTGTCTCATGTTGCAATTTTTCATCGTATTGACTTGAAATTTCAATATGGTGAGCTCCTCTCTTTCCTCTTTCTACTCTAAATGTTTTAAAATCCTCCCTTCAACAGTTTCTGAAGAAAGCGTCAAAATGTGAAAGGGTGCAATTTACTAAATTTGGGTTTTTAAGTGGATTTTCAAAATTTTCTCATGTTGCCATTTTTCATCGAATTAATTTGAAATATCAGTATGATGAGCTCCTCTCTTTCCTCTTTCTACTCTAAATATTTCAAAATTTTCCCTTTGACAGTTTTTGGAAAAAGCATCAAAGTGTGCAAAACTGCATTTTTCTCAATTTGGTTTTTTTAAGTTGATTTCCTCATGTTGCCATTTTTCATCGAATTAATTTGAAATTTCAGTATGATGAGCTCCTCTCTTTCCTCTTTCTACTCTTAATGTTTTAAAATCCTCCCTTCAACAGTTTCTGAAGAATGCGTCAAAATGTGAAAGCGTGCATTTTACTCAATTTGGGTTTTTTAAGTGGATTTTCAAGATTTTCTCATGTTGCCATTTTTCATCGAATTAATTTGAAATTTCAGTATGATGAGCTCCTCTCTTTCCTCTTTCTACTCTAAATGTTTTAAAATCCTCCCTTCAACAGTTTCTGAAGAAAGCGTCAAAATGTGAAAGGGTGCAATTTACTAAATTTGGGTTTTTAAGTGGATTTTCAAAATTTTCTCATGTTGCCATTTTTCATCGAATTAATTTGAAATATCAGTATGATGAGCTCCTCTCTTTCCTCTTTCTACTCTAAATATTTCAAAATTTTCCCTTTGACAGTTTTTGGAAAAAGCATCAAAGTGTGCAAAACTGCATTTTTCTCAATTTGGTTTTTTTAAGTTGATTTCCTCATGTTGCCATTTTTCATCGAATTAATTTGAAATTTCAGTATGATGAGCTCCTCTCTTTCCTCTTTCTACTCTTAATGTTTTAAAATCCTCCCTTCAACAGTTTCTGAAGAATGCGTCAAAATGTGAAAGCGTGCATTTTACTCAATTTGGGTTTTTTAAGTGGATTTTCAAGATTTTCCCATGTTGCCATTTTCCATAAAATTAATTTGAAATTTCAGTATGATGAGCTCCTTTCCTTTCTCTTTCTACTGTAAAAGTTTCAAAATTTTCCCATCAACAGTTTTTGGAAAATTCATCAAAATGAGAAAGGGTGCATTTTACTTAATTTGGGATTTTTAAAGTTGATTTTCAAGATTTTCCTTTGTTGCCATTTTTTATCGAATCAATTTGAAATTTCACTATAATGAGATCTTTTCCTTCCTCTCTCTACTCTAAAAATTTCAAAATTTTTCTTTCAACAGTATTTGGAAAAAGCATCAAAATGTAAAAGGCCGCATTTTTCTTAATTTGCTTGAAATTTTACTCTACTCATAATAAACTCTTGAAAATTGAAAAATTTCCAAATTTCCTGTAGGAACTGTGCCTATAATCAGAAGTCCCAAAGGCAACGCAGCCGAAATGGTAGCCCAAAAACTAGACAAAAAACTAAGAGAAAACCTATTCGACACGAGAAACAATTTATTCTCAGCAGACACCCAATCCTCAAACTTCAACTTTTATCGTCCCCTATTAATAATCTTGGACCGTAACGTTGACATGGCCACCCCATTACACCACACTTGGACCTACCAGGCTTTAGCCCACGATTTATTGGACTTGGCCCTCAACCGAGTAATCATTGAAGACACCAATATTAAAGCAGGAGCACGGTCCAAGCACAAACCTTGCGAGTTGGACTCGAAAGACAAATTTTGGTCCAATCACAAAGGATCTCCTTTTCCAAATGTGGCTGAAGCTATACAAGAGGAATTGGAGCAGTATAGGTCATCTGAAGAGGAAGTTAAAAAATTAAAATCTTCAATGGGGATTGATAATGAAAGTGAAGCAGCTGTTGCAATGGTTACGGATAATACTGCTAAAATTACTTCAGCTGTACAGTCTTTGCCGCAATTATTAGAAAAAAAACGCCTTATTGATATGCATACTTCATTAGCAACTGGTAATAATTATTATTAATTCAATCATATATTAGAGTATTGTATTTCCCTTGCAGCAATATTAAATAATATTAAATTAAGAAAACTAGACACATTTTTTGAGTTGGAAGAGAAAATAATGAGCAAAACTCAGCAACTAGAAAAGGCCCTTTTGGATTTAATTGAAGATAAACAAGCGGGCAATTTAGATGACAAAATGAGATTGTTCATTATCTATTACATTTGCGCACCTCATTTAACTGAAGCAGATTTGAAAAAGTTTGAAAATGCTTTAGTTGAAGCTGGTTGTGATTTAAGCCCTTTAGCTTATATTAAAAGATGGAAGTGAGTTATAAAATATATATTGTTATAAAACAAATAATAATTATTTATTAGGGGTTTTATTAAAATGGCAAGTGGAACTTCCATAAACCAATACGAAGGAGCTGGAACTAAAACAGTAAACATGTTTTCCAAATTAGTATCGCAAGGGTCTAATTTTGTAATGGAAGGAGTCAAAAATTTAGTTGTTAAAAGACATGTGAGTTTATTTTATCAATAAAATTAAGTAAATTTATGAATTTTTTTTTGTAGAATTTGCCAGTTACAAAAATTGTTGATCATTTGATGGATTTTAAAAACAGCCAAGAAATGGACGAGTACCACTATTTGGATCCCAAGCAGTTGAAGTTAACAGAAATTCCAAAAAATCGGTCACCTTTTCAAGATGCTATAGTTTTTATTGTTGGCGGTGGCAATTATATTGAATATCAAAATTTGGTTGATTATGCCAAGGTATAAACATTTTGTGTAATTTTTCCAACAATATTTTCAGTGCAGATTATTTTTATAGGCAAAAACGACTGCAGGAAATATCAAGAGGATTACTTATGGGGCTTCGACTTTGAATAATGCAAAACAGTTTCTGCATCAACTTTCCCTATTAGGACAGGAATTATAATTAAATGCATTTTTATTGTTAAGTATAAAAAAAAATTTTGGTTTTTTATTATGCCTTAGCTGTAAGTGGATGTTGTTATTTAATATTTTAATATATTAAAGTTTCTCTCTTACATTTTTTCTCTCTATTTCTCAATTTGTATCTATTCCTGGCTCTTGAATTCTTGTTTTTTTGCTTAAGTACTAGCTACCTTATGATTTAGTTTTTTGTAAATTTTAAAAAATCATAACTTTTTTTCTATTATAGATAGAAAGCTGCATTCTTATTCCAGTAAAGGACTACAATACCTGAAAATTTCAACTCATTTGGACCTATAGTTCCTGAGATAAAATCGTGTTAAGAGATTTGGGGTGATTTATCAATTTTTCAATTTTTCTGAGTGCCTTTTTTCATAGATTTCGGCTTCAAATCTGAGAATAATTTAGTGTATGGAGTTTGGGGTATGTTGATTGAACATTAGGATACAAAATCTCGATAAAAAAAAATTTGAAATTTCATCGTTTTAGTAAGATAAGGTATTATGATTTATACCTACTTATGATTTAGATTTTGGAAAACTTTGAAAGGTCGTAACTTGTTTTCTATTATAGATAGAAAGCTGAAACTTTCACTGAATTTTATCCCAATTAAGGGACTATAATCCTTGAAAATTTCAGCTCATTCGCACTTATAGTTCCTGAGATATAATCGTGTCAAGCAATTTGGGGTGATTTATCAATTTTTCAAATTTTCTTTTTAATAAATTTCGGTTTCAAATCTGAGAATAATTTGGTGTATGGAGTTTGGGGTATGTTGATTGACCATTAGGATACAAAATCTCAACAAAAATCCAAATCAAGAGCCGAGAATAATCAAAAATTGGACGTTGAAAATGATCAATGCTATTTCAAGAGCCTGGAATAGAAAAAAATATGAATGTTCACTTAGCTATTATCTACCATTTTTTTTCTCAACCTCAACTGAAACAATTTTTATAGAAAATACTTTATTTTACATCAGGCAGATAAGTATATTTACAGATTTTTCAAAAAAATTATTCCGTAAAACTTACTTACTTAAAATAGATTTGAATTTTGAAGGAACATATAAATTCTTAATTAGCCTTAGCATACAAGAAAACAGCTACAATAAGTCCATAAAGTCCTAAAACCTCAGCGAAAATCAAAATAAGAATCATCCCTACGAACAGCCTGGGCTGCTGGGCTGTTCCACGCACTCCAGAATCACCTACAATTCCTATGGCAAAACCTGCAGCCATTCCTGCAAAGCCTACAGCCAAACCTGCACCTAAATGAAGAAAACCTCTGCAACAAATTTAATCAAAATACATTCAATTTATTAATATTGAAGTTTACTTGAAAATGGTGTAGTTAGCAGGCTGGTTGATTCCTCCCACGATAAGAATTGCAATGACCAAACCGTAAATTGCAATGATACCAGCCATTACAACAGGAATTATACATTTCATGATTAATTCCGGTCGCATTACAGCCATTGCGGCAATTCCTGTGCCTGATTTTGCTGTACCATAAGCTGCACCAAGAGCTGAAAATAATTAAATTTCAATTCAAGTGCCTTTTATCTTAGAAGATAAGTGGTTGCGTTATAGAAAAAGTCATGTGAATTTTTCTATAGTAGGAAAATCATGAAAAATATGTACTTTTTTATTAATAGGCATTTTTTGACTTAAATGTTGAGTTGATTTTTTTGCTAATATTGCAAAATTCAATAAAACAAAGACAAAATTACTTACATGTGAAGGTGATAGCAGCAGCTGCCCCCATGACACCGAAGAATGGTCCATAGACGGGGTGTTGTTCGTCAAGAAGGGCTGTTTCGTCAGACATTTTAGAGAAAAATTACCCTTTTTAGGTCTTTTCTGGGACTGCGACTAACCGCCTTGAGATTTCTGGCACAAATGGGGAGTGAACTTAATCATGCGACGATTTTCGAGTGTCGAGATTTGATCAAAATCTCAGGCTCTTCACTTTTCTCGTTTTTTTTTTTTTTGATAAGAGAATATTGAAGGTATTGAGAAATTGGAAATCGTTCAATTGATTATTTTTGTCCAATCATAATTGAATAGGTTTGCAATATTCGTTAAGTCAGTGATCATCTACATAGACTTGAGAATCTTCAGAGACTCAGTCCCCAATTTGGAATCTTGAAAAATATGCAGTTTAATTAATTTTAATTTTTTCTAAACATTTTTGATCTTAAACTCCAAGCTTAATACCTACTTTGAAATTTAAACATTTTTTGAAGTCTTTTTTTTGGACTTCTGGGTGTCTTTTTTTATAGATTTCAGCTTCAAATCTCTGTTTGGTGAAACCCCAATGACGTTCTTTTGACGACACACTGATTGTGGTAAGCTGGGGTGTTTCCAAACAGTGGAAATTCAAAACATACTTAGGTCTTCTTATCTAGATAATTTTTCCTAAATTTCTGCTTTCCAATTCTCAAATTTTTCTGTCTAAATGTTTGTCTATTCTTGGATCTTGAATTGTTTTCTTTGGAATAATATTCATTATGTCTACTCTATTTAGTAGTGTTTCAGTCCTAGAATGAGAAAGGTCATGATAGTAAAGGTTGCAAAATATGACTTGTTTGGGACGTCACGTAGTGGACGTTTATTTGACCATGATATGAACCAACAAGTTCAAAAGTTACCATGTAGAATCTAATATGACTGATTCAGAAAAAATACCTTGGAAATGTCTATAAAGCGTTCATTTGACGTCGTTAAATTGGACGTAGGTATATTTGGTCAGTGTTAATTGATTGAAAAGCTATATTATCTACATAGTAATACGAGTAGATACATATATTTAAAAAGCTGAAACTTTCACTGAATTTTATTCCAATCAAAGAACTACAATCCCTGAAAATTTCAGCTCATTTGCATTTATAGTTCCTGAGATAAAATCGTGTTAAGCAATTTGGGTTGATTTATCAATTTTTCAATTTTTCTGAGTGCCTCTTTTCATAGATTTCAGCTTCAAATCTGAGAATAATTTAGTGTATGGAATTCGAGGTATGAAAATTTTAGCTCATTTGTACTTAAAGTTCCTGAGATAAAATCGTGTTAAGCAATTTGAGGTGATTTATCAATTTTTCAATTTTTCTGAATGCCTTTTTTCATAGATTTCGGCTTCAAATCTGAGAATAATTTAGTGTATGGAGTTTGGGGTATGTTGATTGACCATTAGGATACAAAATCTCAACAAAAAAAAAATTGAAATTTCATCGTTTTAGTAAGAAGGTAGATACATAGGTACCTTATGATTTAGATTTTGGAAAACTTTGAAAGGTCATAACTTAAATGAACATTCAAAAGCCTGGAATAAAAACCCTATGTTCTATTTTACTCTATTTATTCTCTTCTTGTTTCTTGTTCTTCCTCTAAATAAACTCAAAATTCTGGATTGAGAATACTAATGAACATTCAAGAGCCTGGAATAGAAAATCAATGTTTTGGCTTCTCAATTTTAGGAGTGCTTTCCAGAATTCTTAGTTACTCGAAACAGCTACTAAAATCTCAATTTCAATTAAAAATCTTTAGTTTTATGTCACAAAATCTTCTAATACCCTATTGATTTAGAATCTTCAATTTGACGTCTGTATAGAAGATTCTTAGATTAACCGAGTTTTCAGACCTAAAATCATGAACTTTGAGCTTTTTTGACGGCTTTAAAAGTATCTATATCTGAAGTCAAGATTTTTAAATCTTAAAGAGTTTTTAATTTTCATTCTTCACTTATCTATGATTCAAAATCTTCAGATTATTTTAATCTTGAATCATTAAAACCTTGAGAAAGTATTTTTTTTCTAAAACAACATCTTTAAAGAAATTTGCTTGTTATGGAATACAGAAAAATGTTCCCTATTTTCAATTTTGTAATATTTACTATATGAATTTGCTTTTTACTTGATTATCATACTTAAAATCGATTAAGTATTCTAATTGGTAATAATTACGTGGCGTAGGTACTTGTCCTATTTAATTGATAAGAAAATTACTGTTTCATAGTATTTTTTGTTTGTTTGTAAGGTGAGTAGTTACCTACCTATATGTGACACATTTTTTGATAGTAAATCGCAAAACAATAGAGGATATTGTTTCAATAGATATATTTGCTTTAGTAATTGAAAACAAATAAAACACCCAATTATTTATTAGTTTATTAACAATGAAATTTTATTATTCAATTTAGCAAAAGCTTATTTTTCTTGTGCTGTAATTTTATTTAAATATTTACACTAATTAAAATAATATCTTTGGCTTGTAGATAACAGATTTAAAAAAAAAAAAATTAACAATAATTAAATCAGATCCTATTATTTAAAAAATGGAATAGTTTTGGCACAACAATTATTTAAACATTACAAATGTAACATTAACTACTTATTTCTAATCCTAGTCTAGCAAGAGCCATATTTTTCCTTAGTCTTATGATCTCCCAAAAAACATCATGAGCTAAAAGAAACATCAACAATTAAACCAGGTTTAGATACTCCTAGGTAGGTACTTACCAGAACTTTTTACTAAACCTCTTTGTATGTATTTGAGATAATTCAATAAATCACAGACTGCAATAATCTACAAAAACAATTACTTATTTATTATTTGAGCCAACAATTAAGTATTACACTTCTTACCCTATTTCTACAAATTTGCGATATACTGTACCAAGTATCTGTTTCTCCCACGCTCATCCGATAAAAACACAATCTAGGAACTTGTAGTAAAGCACAGGTTCTAAAAACATAAGATTTATTATATACTTTTTCATACAAAAATCCATTATTCTTACTTTGGAAACATCGTTTTGGTTTTATCCCCGACAGCTTCCACTAGCACACTGCCATCTTCAACAGCTTTGGTGACTTTTTCCAGCAAATCCTTGTTGCCAAAATCCAGGCAAATGCCCACATCTTCTTTGAATATTCTCTGGACAAAAGGCACGGTTTTGTCTAGGACTGGATTTTTACGCCATTCTATGAATTCTTTGTGGAAAACTGGATCCACTTCCAGACCTTCGGGCTCGATGTTCGAGACTAGTTGTACTGGATGAGAATCTTTTATTGGAGAATCGGGAGGCGAGTTTTCTCGGCCGTATTTTAAGTTGTAATGGGAAGGTGATCTTCTGTGTTTTTTTGTACCTTTGGAAAAGAGAAATGAACATGATATTTTGACCATATAATGTATAGATTGCAAATACAATTTTTTACATTTATCATCAAAAAAAGGGATTTGAGAAACTTTCAATCTCTAAAGTCTTTATTGTTGAATGTCAAGAATCTTAAGATTCTTTTAAATCTTGAAAATCAAGCTTTTTAGAATATTTGAGACAGGAATTGAGAGAGTCTTCAAGGTCCTAACTCATAAATTTTGAATCTTTTCAAAGGGTATAGGCCCTAAAATCTTTGAATTCTTTGGATGACTTTAGAATCTTCAATTTGGTCTTAGATCTTATAAACTATCAGTATATATCTATTTGAGAATCTTGAAAAGGACTTCAGATGTTCTATTTAATTTTATTTCTTTCCTTGAGGGGCTGGAATTTACTTTAGGATTCCTTATACAGGGTTAGTAGAAAGTACTGCAACACTTAAATATCTTCAAAACTGCTTAAGCCGTGTTCACACAATTTGGAATCTGACAGTTTTCAGGCATGCGGAATTCAACAGTGTTATTGGCAATGTTGCCAGATTTCCCAGTTTTGCGGTATACGTAGTCTTTTTGTTATCTCAAATAGAATGCCCCATTTATTTTTATTGCAATGAATTGGGCGTGCCAAATTTGATAAGATTCCAAATTTTCAGAATTCTATCTTTACTAGTTGTTGAAATATGACAACACCGTATTTTCGGTGAAAAGTATCGCAACGCTTGAATATCTTCAAACGCTGCTTAAGCACGTTAACGAAATTTGGTATCTGGGGGTTTTTGAGCAAGTGAAATTTAACCGTGATATCGGCATTGTTGCCAGATTTCCCAGTTTTGCCCTACAAGTAGTATTTTTGCTATCGCGAATAGAATGCGCCATTTATTTTTATAGCAATAAATTGGACGTGTCAAATTTGATAAGATTCCAAATTTTCAGAATTCTATCTCCACTAGTTGCTGAAATATGCCAACACCGCATTTTCAGTGAACGGTATCGCAACGCTTGAATATCTTTAAAAACCCGCTTAAGCTCGTCCACTAAATTCGGTATCTGGGGATTTATAGGCAAGCGAATTTCAACTGTGATATTAGCATTGTTGCCAAGTTTCCCAGTTTCGAGCTACACATAGTCTTGTTCGTGGCTTATGTTTCTTTTTTCTTTCAATAATACACGTTACTTGTGCATGAGATATTCATATTTCCGGGCATTTCCGATAAGTTTGCGGCTCCTCCTGAAATAGGTAGGTAACTATCCCAGAATGATTATCACTATAAAGCCTGTTTTTTTTTTAAAGATAATTCCCCAAGTCAAAAATTTAGTAACTATGTTGGCAACACAAGCCTTTTCTACATAAAAAAAATTGAAAGCATTGACAATTTTACATTGTATTGCCAACATAATGTCATTTTGACTTTTATCTTTAAAAAAAAAAACAGATTTTAATAGTGTTTAACAGTACAAGCAGCACATTGAAAATTTGGAATCTCATCAACATTTGAACTAATTCATTGCAATAAAAATAAATGTATCCAAGATAAAAAGACTACGTGTAGCGCGAAACTGAGAATCTTGGCAACAGTGCCGATATCACAGTTGAATTTCGCTTGCCTATAGATTCCCAGATAGGTACCGAATTTAGTGGACGAGCTCAAGCGGGCTTTGAAGATATTCAAGCGTTGCAATACCGTTCACTGAAAATGCGGTGTTGGCATATTTCAGCAACTAGTAGAGATAGAATACTGAAAATTTGGAATCTTATTAATTTTGGCACGCCCAATTCATTGCAATAAAAATAAATGGGGCATTCTATTTAAGATAACAAAAAGACTACGTGTAGCGCAAAACTGGAAAATCTGGCAACATTGCCAATAGCGCTGTTGAATTCCGCATGCCTGAAAACTGTCAGATTCCGAATTGTGTGTACGCGGCTTGAGCAGTTTAGAAGATATTTAAGTGTTGCAGTACTTTTTACTAACCCTGTATATTCTTTCATGTTTTTTCAATTCCTGGAGTTTTTAGTTTTTAATCAGTGAAAGTCTTCATTTATCATTATATGTAGGTAATATTTTAATATTTTTCGGAAAAACTACTGGAAGAAATAACATGAAACTTTTGAGATGAAAATAAGGAGGTTCTTAAACTAAAATTTCAAATTTTTCCAGTAAAAAAAAAAACACCATGGGAAACTATAATGAAAATCAACTTGCAAAATCTAAATTAGGCAAAAATGCAATCTCTTACATTTCAATGTTTTCCTGGAAAACTACTGAAGGGAAAATTATGAAACTTTTAGGATGGAAAGAGGAAAATTAGGAGCTCATTATAATGAAATATCAAATTTTTCCAGTAAAAAACAAAACCACAAGAAACTAATGAAAATCAACTTGCAAAATCTAAATTAGGCAAAAATGCAATCTCTTACATTTCAATGTTTTTCTGGAAAACTACTGAAGGGAAAATTATGAAACTTCAGAATGAAAAGGAAAAGGTAGGAGCTCATTATACTGAAATTTGGAATTTTTCCAGTTAAAAATAATACCATGGGAAATTAATGAAAATCAACTTGCAAAATCTTAATTGAGCAAATATGCAATCTCTAACATTTTAATATACTTTTCTGGAAAACTACTAGAGGGAAAATTATGACACTTCTAGGATGAAATGAGGAAAATTAGGAGTTTATTATACCGAAATTTCAAATTTTCCTAATAAAAAATAACATTATGGGAAACTAATTAAGATCAACTTGCAAAATCTAAATTAGGCAAAAATGCAATCTCTTACATTTTAATATATTTCTGAAAAACTACTGAAGGGGAAATTATGAAATTTTCAGGATGACAAGAGGAAGATTAGAAGCTCATTATACTGAAATTTTAGATTTTTCCAATAAAAAACAACATCCATAGTAAATTAATGAGAATCAAAGTTGCAAAATCTAAATTAGGCAAAAATGCAATCTCTTACATTTCAATATTTTTCTGGAAAACTATTAAAGGGAAAATTATGAAACTTTCAGGATGGAAACAGGAAAATTAGAAGCTCATTATAATGAAATATCAAATTTTTCCAGTAAAAAACAAAACCACAAGAAACTAATGAAAATCAACTTGCAAAATCTAAATTAAGAAAAAATGTTGATCTCATACATTTTAATATTTTTCTGGAAAACTACTGAAGGGAAAATTATGAATCTTTCAGAATGAAAAGGAAAAAGTAGGAGCTCATTATACTGAAATTTGGAATTTTTCCAGCTAAAAATAATACCATGGGAAATTAATGAAAATCAACTTGCAAAATCTTAATTGAGCAAATATGCAATCTCTAACATTTTAATATACTTTTCTGGAAAACTACTAGAGGGAAAATTATGACACTTCTAGGATGAAATGAGGAAAATTAGGAGTTTATTATACCGAAATTTCAAATTTTCCTAATAAAAAATAACATTATGGGAAACTAATTAAGATCAACTTGCAAAATCTAAATTAGGCAAAAATGCAATCTCTTACATTTTAATATATTTTTGAAAAACTACTGAAGGGGAAATTATGAAATTTTCAGGATGACAAGAGGAAGATTAGAAGCTCATTATACTGAAATTTTAGATTTTTCCAATAAAAAACAACATCCATAGTAAATTAATGAGAATCAAAGTTGCAAAATCTAAATTAGGCAAAAATGCAATCTCTTACATTTCAATATTTTTCTGGAAAACTATTAAAGGGAAAATTATGAAACTTTCAGGATGGAAACAGGAAAATTAGAAGCTCATTATAATGAAATATCAAATTTTTCCAGTAAAAAACAAAACCACAAGAAACTAATGAAAATCAACTTGCAAAATCTAAATTAAGAAAAAATGTTGATCTCATACATTTTAATATTTTTCTGGAAAACTACTGAAGGGAAAATTATGAATCTTTCAGAATGAAAAGGAAAAAGTAGGAGCTCATTATACTGAAATTTGGAATTTTTCCAGCTAAAAATAATACCATGGGAAATTAATGAAAATCAACTTGCAAAATCTTAATTGAGCAAATATGCAATCTCTAACATTTTAATATACTTTTCTGGAAAACTACTAGAGGGAAAATTATGACACTTCTAGGATGAAATGAGGAAAATTAGGAGTTTATTATACCGAAATTTCAAATTTTCCTAATAAAAAATAACATTATGGGAAACTAATTAAGATCAACTTGCAAAATCTAAATTAGGCAAAAATGCAATCTCTTACATTTTAATATATTTCTGAAAAACTACTGAAGGGGAAATTATGAAATTTTCAGGATGACAAGAGGAAGATTAGAAGCTCATTATACTGAAATTTTAGATTTTTCCAATAAAAAACAACATCCATAGTAAATTAATGAGAATCAAGTTGCAAAATCTAAATTAGGCAAAAATGCAATCTCTTACATTTCAATATTTTTCTGGAAAACTATTAAAGGGAAAATTATGAAACTTTCAGGATGGAAACAGGAAAATTAGAAGCTCATTATAATGAAATATCAAATTTTTCCAGTAAAAAACAAAACCACAAGAAACTAATGAAAATCAACTTGCAAAATCTAAATTAAGAAAAAATGTTGATCTCATACATTTTAATATTTTTCTGGAAAACTACTGAAGGGAAAATTATGATACTTTTAGGATGGAAAGAGGAAAATTAGAAGCTCATTATAATGAAATATCAAATTTTTCCAGTAAAAAACAAAACCACAAGAAACTAATGAAAATCAACTTGCAAAATCTAAATTAGGCAAAAATGCAATCTCTTACATTTCAATATTTTTCTGGAAAACTATTAAAGGGAAAATTATGAAACTTTCAGGATGGAAACAGGAAAATTAGAAGCTCATTATAATGAAATATCAAATTTTTCCAGTAAAAAACAAAACCACAAGAAACTAATGAAAATCAACTTGCAAAATCTAAATTAAGAAAAAATGTTGATCTCATACATTTTAATATTTTTCTGGAAAACTACTGAAGGGAAAATTATGATACTTTTAGGATGGAAAGAGGAAAATTAGAAGCTCATTATAATGAAATATCAAATTTTTCCAGTAAAAAACAAAACCACAAGAAACTAATGAAAATCAACTTGCAAAATCTAAATTAAGAAAAAATGTTGATCTCATACATTTTAATATTTTTCTGGAAAACTACTGAAGGGAAAATTATGATACTTTTAGGATGGAAACAGGAAAATTAGAAGCTCATTATAATGAAATATCAAATTTTTCCAGTAAAAAACAAAACCACAAGAAACTAATGAAAATCAACTTGCAAAATCTAAATTAAGAAAAAATGTTGATCTCATACATTTTAATATTTTTCTGGAAAACTACTGAAGGGAAAATTATGATACTTTTAGGATGGAAACAGGAAAATTAGAAGCTCATTATAATGAAATATCAAATTTTTCCAGTAAAAAACAAAACCACAAGAAACTAATGAAAATCAACTTGCAAAATCTAAATTAAGAAAAAATGTTGATCTCATACATTTTAATATTTTTCTGGAAAACTACTGAAGGGAAAATTATGATACTTTTAGGATGGAAACAGGAAAATTAGAAGCTCATTATAATGAAATATCAAATTTTTCCAGTAAAAAACAAAACCACAAGAAACTAATGAAAATCAACTTGCAAAATCTAAATTAGGCAAAAATGCAATCTCTTACATTTCAATGTTTTTCTGGAAAACTACTGAAGGGAAAATTATGAAACTTCAGAATGAAAAGAAAAAGGTAGGAGCTCATTATACTGAAATTTGGAATTTTTCCAGTTAAAAATAATACCATGGGAAATTAATGAAAATCAACTTGCAAAATCTTAATTGAGCAAATATGCAATCTCTAACATTTTAATATACTTTTCTGGAAAACTACTAGAGGGAAAATTATGACACTTCTAGGATGAAATGAGGAAAATTAGGAGTTTATTATACCGAAATTTCAAATTTTCCTAATAAAAAATAACATTATGGGAAACTAATTAAGATCAACTTGCAAAATCTAAATTAGGCAAAAATGCAATCTCTTACATTTTAATATATTTCTGAAAAACTACTGAAGGGGAAATTATGAAATTTTCAGGATGACAAGAGGAAGATTAGAAGCTCATTATACTGAAATTTTAGATTTTTCCAATAAAAAACAACATCCATAGTAAATTAATGAGAATCAAGTTGCAAAATCTAAATTAGGCAAAAATGCAATCTCTTACATTTCAATATTTTTCTGGAAAACTATTAAAGGGAAAATTATGAAACTTTCAGGATGGAAACAGGAAAATTAGAAGCTCATTATAATGAAATATCAAATTTTTCCAGTAAAAAACAAAACCACAATAAGAAACTAATGAAAATCAACTTGCAAAATCTAAATTAGGCAAAAATGCAATCTCTTACATTTCAATGTTTTTCTGGAAAACTACTGAAGGGAAAATTATGAAACTTCAGAATGAAAAGAAAAAGGTAGGAGCTCATTATACTGAAATTTGGAATTTTTCCAGTTAAAAATAATACCATGGGAAATTAATGAAAATCAACTTGCAAAATCTTAATTGAGCAAATATGCAATCTCTAACATTTTAATATACTTTTCTGGAAAACTACTAGAGGGAAAATTATGACACTTCTAGGATGAAATGAGGAAAATTAGGAGTTTATTATACCGAAATTTCAAATTTTCCTAATAAAAAATAACATTATGGGAAACTAATTAAGATCAACTTGCAAAATCTAAATTAGGCAAAAATGCAATCTCTTACATTTTAATATATTTCTGAAAAACTACTGAAGGGGAAATTATGAAATTTTCAGGATGACAAGAGGAAGATTAGAAGCTCATTATACTGAAATTTTAGATTTTTCCAATAAAAAACAACATCCATAGTAAATTAATGAGAATCAAGTTGCAAAATCTAAATTAGGCAAAAATGCAATCTCTTACATTTCAATATTTTTCTGGAAAACTATTAAAGGGAAAATTATGAAACTTTCAGGATGGAAACAGGAAAATTAGAAGCTCATTATAATGAAATATCAAATTTTTCCAGTAAAAAACAAAACCACAATAAGAAACTAATGAAAATCAACTTGCAAAATCTAAATTAGGCAAAAATGCAATCTCTTACATTTCAATGTTTTTCTGGAAAACTACTGAAGGGAAAATTATGAAACTTCAGAATGAAAAGAAAAAGGTAGGAGCTCATTATACTGAAATTTGGAATTTTTCCAGTTAAAAATAATACCATGGGAAATTAATGAAAATCAACTTGCAAAATCTTAATTGAGCAAATATGCAATCTCTAACATTTTAATATACTTTTCTGGAAAACTACTAGAGGGAAAATTATGACACTTCTAGGATGAAATGAGGAAAATTAGGAGTTTATTATACCGAAATTTCAAATTTTCCTAATAAAAAATAACATTATGGGAAACTAATTAAGATCAACTTGCAAAATCTAAATTAGGCAAAAATGCAATCTCTTACATTTCAATGTTTTCCTGGAAAACTACTGAAGGGAAAATTATGAAACTTTTAGGATGGAAAGAGGAAAATTAGGAGCTCATTATAATGAAATATCAAATTTTTCCAGTAAAAAACAAAACCACAAGAAACTAATGAAAATCAACTTGCAAAATCTAAATTAAGAAAAAATGTTGATCTCATACATTTTAATATTTTTCTGGAAAACTACTGAAGGGAAAATTATGAATCTTTCAGAATGAAAAGGAAAAAGTAGGAGCTCATTATACTGAAATTTGGAATTTTTCCAGCTAAAAATAATACCATGGGAAATTAATGAAAATCAACTTGCAAAATCTAAATTAAGAAAAAATTTTGATCTCATACATTTTAATATTTTTCTGGAAAACTACTGAAGGAAAAATTATGAAATTTTTATGATGAAAACTAGAAAATTATGAGCTCATTATACTGACATTTCAAATTTTCCCAATGGAAAACAACATTATGAGAAACTCCTGAAAATCAACTTCTAAATTAGGCCAAAACGCAACCTCTTACATTTCAATATTTTTCGGCAAAACCACTGAAGGGTAAATTATGAAACTTCCAGGGTTCTATTTCTCATATAAAACTCTAAATATAGCTCATCTAATACCGTGTAAAACTAAGCCAGAAATATGTTTATTTTACTAAAAATATACTCAACAAACAGAGGAAAAGCTCTAATTAGGAAAAACACTTTCACTAATAAACAAGGAAACCTTATAGCAACATATTCATGGCTACATGGAAATATCCATAAATAGTCTTGCTTGGTAAAATTCCACTTTTCCGTAGGGGTGCACCCTTGACACGAAAATCGTCATCGTGTGACGATCAATATACAAATTACTTCAATGACGCATCCGAATGAGCAATAAGGAATTTATTTGTAAATTATTACCAGTTTCTCCTGCTGAGTCCTTGGACAATTGTGGATGCAAATGGGGATTAGGAGAACTAGGGGTTGAAGTTAGCACTAGGGTTTTTAGTGCAGCCACTTCTGCCGTTAAAACGTCCACCTTCATTTGGCTTTCTTTCAAAGCTTTTTCGGCTGAGGCGGCTTTCTCGTTTGCTTCTCTTACCATATTGTGAGCTTCCTAAAAATAATTAAGTGAAAGTACAAAACTTTATTGTTTCATTGATATAACAATGAAAAATAATGCATTTTTTCCTTTTTAAAACTTTACATTACTGAAAATTTCAACAATAGTTCAAAGGTTTTTTTAATTATAATAATTAAACATTTTAATAGATTTTACACATATACATAATATTTAATAGTTGTCTAATTTCAATTAATTAACCTCTGCTATAGGACAATATTAAATTAGCCAAAACGAGAGAGTGGTTGGTGTAATTTTGCGGTAACCGTCCGTACCAGGTGAAAACCGCAATTCACTTGTCGTACTATGGTACCCACCTTATTGCATTTCTATTTAGATTAGATGTGGTACCGTATTGTAGAATTATTGTCCTTAAATTTCTTCTTAAAGTATGTCTCCGCATTCAATTAGCAATATGGGTGTTGACCTTAACACAAAAGCTTAGGAAATATTTAACAGGGACATGAAAATTGTTTAAATCAACTACAAATTGTGTATAGGTAGTTTATTATAAAATTTTTCACCAAGTAATACCTACATATTTCAGTTTCTACTATTCAAATAATTAAAAATTCATAAACAATTTATCCCAAAGAATATCAAAATCTGCTTGGAAAATTCTGATGATTTTTTACCTGAAACAAACTTGCAGTAAGATCCTCCAATTCCGCCTCGACGTCTTGCCTCAGCCGATTCACTCGAGTCAATTCGTCGTCTTTTAATTTCAGTTGCCTGCCAGCTTGCTTCAATTCGTCCTAACAATTTCAATTATTATACCTGAAAGCTGTTTCTGATTTTACAACTTACTTGTAACCCAATTAGTATCTGATCTTTGCAAGCCACCACTGATCCTGACCAATCGATTTGGTCACTACTACTAGCAGCACTTTCACTATCATCTTTTAGATCAAAGGAAGAAATTACTTCTAAGTCGATTTTTTCTAAATCCAAGTCGCTATACACTGAACTATTAGAACTACAATAATAATTATTAATATTATTTTCATAATTAATAAGTAATTAATACCTGTTTCTATCTGATGCTGTAACTGGAAAAGTATTTATAGCTGTATACCCGTACATTCTATGATCTCTTATGGTAACATCTCCATTTTCCAATTCGACATTGTCTTCTTCGTCTGAAGAATAAGATTCGTCTCCAGTGGTCCCTGTTGAGCCCACTCGTTTATGGTTGATGATTTTTTTAGGATTTGAAGCCATTACTGGATAATTAAGTGAAATAATTATTTGAAACCTGAATTTGTTTCAATGTCAAGTAAGTTTTTAGTATTTATACATGCCGCCCACATACAATAGTTATTTATACGGTTTGTTGATTTGCTATACGGTCATTATTTTAATTATTACTTAATATGATGAGAAAGTTTTTGGGAGAATATGTGTTTCTATTTAAATACATTATAATTTAGCACTAAAGATAATCTATTAAGGCAAAATGTTATTTTAAAGAGGATAATATTTACATTATCATTAAATATTGTATAAATAGTTACAGTTAATTAGAGAGTCTTGTTTAAAATAAGTATAGGTACTCATTATTCATTTTGCATAGCATTTAAATTCATCATAAGAATCTTCAGTTCAGGCATTTTACAATGGATTTGGATCAAAACAAAAACTAACCATTTGTAGAGAATTTATTTGGCTTTAGTTTAAGCCTAATTACGTCAAAATCGGTTGAAACTTGACAAAGTTATGGGACAAAATGTAAATCTATGTCAAAACTTCGAAAAAAAAAAAAGAAATTTTATTGGATTTTGACATTAGGGTTCCAAGAAAAAATTGAAAATTTGGCAACACTGTCTTATTGTTATAACATAAGTAAAAAAACTATCAAACTATCAAAGTAGGCTTTGTTTTTTTTAACAGTTGCTACTGTCATGACGTCTGTTAAGCTTTTTGTGGCCCACGTTTTGTGTTTTTTGCAAAATTTTGGGGTTCTTCGTAATTCACATCGGATTTGGAACGAAACAAAAACCAGTTATTTGACGAGAATTTAATTGGCTTAAATTTGAGCCTAATTACTTCAAAATCTGTTGAAAATTTACAAAGTTATAAGCCAAAATGTGTGAATCCATGTCAAAACTTCGATAAAAACGACATTCTATTGGATTTTGACATTAAGATTGAAGAAATTGGAAAATTGGCAACGCCGTCTTATAATCGTGACATTAGTCATAAAACTATCAAAGTAGGCCTTTTTTTGTAACAGTTGGTACTATCATGGCGTCTGTTAAGCTTTTTGTGGCCTACGTCTCGTGTTTTTTGCAAAATTTTTGGGGTCCTCTGCATTTCACATCGGATTTGGAACGAAACAAAAACCAGTTATTTGTAGAGAATTTAATTGGCTTAAATTTGAGCCTAATTACGTCAAAATCGGTTGAAAATTGACCATTTTGGCTCATAAGCCAAAATGTGAATCCATGTCAAAACTTAGAAAAAAACGAGATTCTATTGGATTTTGACATTAAGGTTGTAGAAATTGAAAAATTGGCAACACTACCGTCTTATAATCGTGACATTAGTCATAATACTATCAAAGTAGGCCTTTTTTTGTAACAGTTGGTACTATCATGGCGTCTGTTAAGCTTTTTGTGGCCTACGTCTCGTGTTTTTTGCAAAATTTTTGGGGTCCTCTGCATTTTACATCGGATTTGGAACGAAACAAAAACCAGTTATTTGTAGAGAATTTAATTGGCTTAAATTTGAGCCTAATTACGTCAAAATCGGTTGAAAATTGACCATTTTGGCTCATAAGCCAAAATGTGAATCCATGTCAAAACTTAGAAAAAAACGAGATTCTATTGGATTTTGACATAAGGTTGTAGAAATTGGAAAATTGGCAACGCCGTCTTATAATCGTGACATTAGTCATAAAACTATCAAAGTAGGCCTTTTTTTGTAACAGTTGGTACTATCATGGCGTCTGTTAAGCTTTTTGTGGCCTACGTCTCGTGTTTTTTGCAAAATTTTTGGGGTCCTCTGCATTTTACATCGGATTTGGAACGAAACAAAAACCAGTTATTTGTAGAGAATTTAATTGGCTTAAATTTGAGCCTAATTACGTCAAAATCGGTTGAAAATTGACCATTTTGGCTCATAAGCCAAAATGTGAATCCATGTCAAAACTTAGAAAAAAACGAGATTCTATTGGATTTTGACATTAAGGTTGTAGAAATTGGAAAATTGGCAACACTGTCTTATAATCATGACATTAGTCATAAAACTATCAAAGTAGGCTTTGTTTTTTTTTGTAACAGTTGGTACTGTCATGGCGTTAAGCTTTTTGTAGCCCACGTCTCGTGTTTTTTTCGCAAAATTTTGGGGTTCTCTGCATTTCACATCGGATTTGGATCAAAACAAAAACCAGTTATTTGTAGAGAATTTAATTGGCTTAAATTTGAACCTTATAACGTCAAAATCGGTTGAAAATTGACAAAGCTATGAGCCAAAATATAAATTCATGTCAAAACTTTGAAAGAAAAACGACATTTTATTAGATTTTGACATTAAGGTTGAAGGAATTGAAAAATTGGCAACACTGTCTTATAATCGTGACATTAGTCATAAAACTATCAAAGTAGGCCTTTTTTTGTAACAGTTGGTACTGTTGGGGCCTACGTCCCGTGTTTTTTGTAAAATTTTGAGGTTTTTGGACGATTTAAGAGAAAAAAAGGGTTTTGAAGTTTTAATTGGATTGTTTTGCACCAAAAATGTCCAAAATTCTTAGCCGGAGACTTTCGTTTCAATTAAAGTTGGTAAGTTGTAACAATAGCTGTTTGAATTTTTAAAAAATCGTTTTTTTCACATTTTAAATTGGATTTGGATCGAAACAAAAACCAGTTATTTGTAGAGAATTTATTTGGCTTTACTTTGAGTCTAATTACGTCAAAATCGGTTGAAAATTGACAAAGTTATGAGGCAAAATCTAAATCCATGTCCAAATTTCGAAAAAAACTTCAAGGTTTTATGAAGAAATTGTAAATTTGGCAACACCGTCTTATTAGGTCTGTTTCTGCAGAAATCACAAACCAGTTAGAGTGAATTTCATTGGTTGAAACTAGTTTTCTGACTGTTTCTAAGTTCAACCAATGAAATTCACTCCAACTAGTTTGTGATTTCTGCAGAAACAGACCTATCATTATGACATAAGTTAAAAAACTATCAAAGTTGGCCTTGTTTTTTTTTAACAGTTGGTACTGTCATGGCGTCTGTTAACCTTTTTGGAGCCCAGTTTTGTGTTTTTGTACAATTTTAGGGTTTTTTGCAGCGTTGCCAGACTCTAAATATGGAAGTGTGGTACACAATGCTCAAAAACTGTCGTACAAGGACGTACGCGCCACGAATACTTGTGGTACACATTACCTTACATTATACATTTTTAGTATACATTTACTAGAAAAAATATGATTTTTTTTGAGAGCGCAAAATGTTGAAAACTTGAAAATAGCCCTTGCATTAAAAATTACAGCAACAGGAGTAAAAGGAAATCAAATAGAACTATTTATTCAATTTATTAAGGTACTTTGTGGGTACTTAGTCAAATTGAAATAAATTCTTTTCTAACGTTGATGCTGGATTATGTGATGTGTCAATTGTGTCATACTACCCTAACTCTCCCACCATCAAATTCTGGGATACTGGAAGATCAAGAACATTTTATTTGTGAGAACGAACCGAAAATCACCTTTTCTACATTTAAAATCGACAAAAACATTAAATCACTAGCACAGCTTGAATCGCAAGCATTCCATCGAGGTCTGCGGGCGACGTCATCGCTATAAGCTGCTGATAGTGACGTCACTCGCAGGCCCAGAACAGCATATTCACATGCAAGGTTGTCAAGGTGCAGGGTGGTCAAGCAAGGTACCAAAACCCAATTTGGCCAACACATATAATATAATAAAAAAAGGAAAATTTAGAAATGTGGTACATTACCATAAAATATTACCCAATCAACTTAATATTTCAAAATTGTGGTACATTACCGTACTATCGTAGTACGGTCAACTGTACGCATTGATTTTCTTGTAACGAAGATGCCCTAAATTGTCGTACAAATATTACACCTGTCATACGTCTGGCAACACTGATTTTTTGGATGTTTTAAGGGCAAGAAAGTGTTATAAAGTTTTCATTGGACTGTTTTGCATCGAAAATGCCCAAAATTCTTCGCCGGCGCCTTTCGCTTCAGTTAAAACTGGTAGGTAAGTTGTACCAATAACGGTTTGAATTTTCGAAAAATTATTCTTTTCGCATCTCACACTGGGTTTGCATCAAAACAAAAACTAGCTGTTTTAGAGAATCTAACTGGCTTAGTTTCATCAAAATCGCTCGAAAATTAATAAAGTTATGAGGCAAAATGTTAATACATGTCAAAAACGACATTTTATTAGATTTTGACATTAAGGTTTCAATAAAAACTTGAAAATTAGGCAACAATGTTTTATTATTATGACATAAATGAAAAAACTATCTAAAGTAGGCCTTGTTTTTTTTTTAACAATTGGTACTGTCATGGCGCCTGTTAAGCTTTTTCAGACCCGCGTTTCGTGTTTTTTGCACAATTTTGGTGTATTTTGGATGATTTAAGGTTAAAAAAGTGTTTTGAAATTTTCATTGAATTGTTTTACATCAAAACTGACCAAAATTTTTAGCCGGGATTTTGGTTTCAATTAAAACTGGTAAGTTGTAACAATACCTGTTTGAATTTAAAAAAATAATATTTTTTTCGCATTTTTAATTGGGTTTTGGATCAAAACAAAAACTAGTTATTTGTAGAGAATTTAATTGGCTTCGGTTTGAGCCTAATTACATCAAAATCGGTTGAAAATTAATAAAGTTATGAAGCAAAATATAAATTAATGTCAAAATTTCGAAAAAAACGCCATTTTGTTGGATTTTGACACTTGTTTTTTTTTTTGTCAGTTGGTACTGTCATGGCGTCTTTCATATTTTTTCCCCCAAGGGCAAGGTTCCTAGGTTGTCTGATAATGGCTATATAACTTGATGACGCATTTGGGGTGCCTTATCGAGATTTACGTTATGTGGAGGCACCTCAGATGACGTCATAAAAGTTATCAGGCAGCCTGGGGCTTATCTGACGAGTTTTTTACGAAATTTTGGGGAGGATTTTTAAAGACTTCAAAAAATCATATCATCTCCAACTGAGTCTATACTTAATTGCGACGTCCAATATTGA